TATATTTTCCCCACACTGTAAATAAAACATGTGATTATAATTTATTCCATATATATTTCACAGTGTTGGGAAGTAGCGCGCTACAAGTTGCGACGCTAGAATAGCAGGCCACTTTTTTTGTCGCGTTAGCTGTAGCTACACTACTTTTAAGATTTTGTAGCCTTAGCTGTAGCTAGCTACATTTTTAAAGTAGTTGTAGCGAAATTTTAGCTACTTTTCTCGCTACTTTACATTGATTGAGATAGTGATTTTTATCATAACCTTACGTGAAACAACCTCTTTCAAATCAAACTTAGATTTTCAAGAAAATTAGGCCTACTTTCTTGGCTTCATACAGCTGGTCGCAGCCGTTTCATTACCTATTACAAGGTTGCGTGGACATGGAGGCTATTATCTGAGTGTTATCCACATTTTTTGCTCCCATTTCCTTAATTTGCTACTCTATGATTACTAACTGTCAGATAAAATAAAATCACTAGATGCAGACGACGTTAAAACGTTACCGGTGACAAGAGAAGCTATTATTGAATGCTTGCAAGTGATTGAGAGGGAAATTAGTAATCAATTTAGTTTCTTTATTTTATAGTACTAGATAGTTTTAACTTGGGTTTTAATGGAAACCTAAACCTTAAAATAATGAGAAAGCTGGTCTATCAACCTTTGCTTCAGCTGTTGATTGTGGTTAACCCTCCGAGTGTTATTTGTCGATGCATCGACACATAACACACTTTGTGTAGTGTTTTGTGTCGATGCATCGACTCACAAACACTGTTTACGGCGAAGGCTCTATGACTGACAAAATCGGATTGAACCGGATCGAGTTAGGTATCGTTTTATGTGACAGATTCAGAGCTTTCTCCGGAGGTCTGTTTCTAAGTGCTTTTCATTTTAGTTTCGAAAATATTGTAGCAGACAGCTTACGTGCGTATTTGTAAACAGCTTGGTTAACCTCGCACCGATGACTGATGTGTTTTATTACGTTTATCATTGTTTTAGTGTTAAAAATCAAAAGTAGTGATATACATGGTGCATTATAAGAAGATTTAAGTGATTTTGAAGGGCTGGTTAATGATCCTGAAGAAGTAGGTAGTGATATTGATGTAAATTATCAGCCAGATTCCTAGCTATGGTTAGGCTATGCATTCTTAGCTAAACGCTATGTAGGTACTGAAATCTGTTTTTTGCCCATAACTTATTTATTTGAAAATCTACTTCCTTATATTATTATATATTTGTAATCCTCATAAAATTTAGAACAAAGTGGCTATTTTCAAATATTTATAGGCCTATAATTTTTACAATTTCATTGAGCGCGAACTTATTTTTCTTTTTGAAAATTTTCCAAAATATTTTTTTGTACCTAAAATTTTTTTTTGAAACAAATGTTCCTTATGTTTTATGTATAATATGGAAGCCCATGATTTTCCAAACAAAATGGTATATTGAACAGAATAATTAACATTGTTTTCAAGCTTCTCAGATCCGTTTTAATAAAACCTTGCAAATGAGCAAAAAATAGGCAGACATTAAGGCCAAAACAAGGGACACTCGGAGGGTTAATCATCACAAAGCCCCTTGGCTGGATTACGAAGATTTTTCAAAGGTTTACTAAATTAACGAAGAGGAAATTACCTTATGAGATTAAAGATATGCCTAAGACTACATAATAACTGTAAAGAAAAAATCTCCATAAATTACATTGAAAAAATAACATAGTTTGCTTCTGCTAACAGCTCTTGTCAAGGACTATTCCTAGGCTATGCCATTGGATTAATACAAATACAAGGTTCAATTAATAGGAACATGTCTGTTTAGTCCTTGTAAGAACAAAACACCAATCCTACTATAGCCAACTTGTTACATAGCCAAGTAGGCCTACATGTTATGTTTACTTTACAATTTTCAACATGTTTTAAAATTAAAAAGCCGATTTTAGGACAAGTTGCGGAATACTTTTTTCTGCTCCAACGTTTGTTGAAGCTCAATTTGCCCTATGCATGATGACAAAGGACAATTTCTTAACATTGAAAAGTGTTATTCATAGAACAAGTAACTTATCACTATGGTTAAAAGTTATAGCAATGTTGTTTTTAACATTAAAAAATAAAGGAAGGCAATACACTCCAATTTCAGTAGGCTAGGCCTGTTTTTAATAGGTTGATTTAAGACATTTTTAAATGAATGTACATTAAAGCACAGAAAATATACTACTATAACCCAGAATGCCAACCGCATGTAAAAAGCATTAAGTGTTTTGAGAGAGCTTTGCCTGTCAATTCGTAGGCAGCGCCACCAGCGTTGCCATGCACTCAGCATAGCAACGCTGGTGGTGCTGCCTACGAATTGACAGGCAAAGCTCTCTCAAAACACTTAATGCTTTTTACCATGCGGTTGGAATTCTTGGTTATAGTAGTATGTTTTCTGTGATTAAAGAAATAAAATGAGCTTTTAAAATATAGTTTTGGTTGTATGTCCTTTGAACTTAGTTTAAAAATAATGCAATACTTAAAATATTACTCAATATGATGGAACACCCTACTATTTTGGTTGTGTTGTTATAATGTAACACAAGTGTTTATATAGTCAATGAGGCTACTGGTGCTACCGCTGATGGCTTATGCATGTGTACGTTAGTAGCTAGCAGACAATTTGCCAAATAGGAACATGAAATAAGCTGTTCCCCGTCCTCACTGTCGCGGTTGCTCGCCTAGCTGTCAACAGCTTACTGTTGTAAAAATTGGATGAGGCGACAGTAACTTTTTCTAGTACGCTTCTGCTGTATACACTGCTGTATCTGCTGTATCATGATATCTGCCAATTCAATTTTGTCCTAAAAAATGTATACACATCTCTAAGATTTGTTGCCAACAGACAAGCAATTCAAATTAAAAAAAAAACTATTGTTTATCATCCCTGCAAAACTGCTAATAATTCATGTTCAAATTTTCATCAGAATTCCGTTAGTTTAAATCAACAATCACATAAGACCAATAGATGGAGCACGCCTATCTAACTAACATACAAGCAGTTGAAGCCAGGTCCGCCATCTTAGTGCAGGTTAGAAGTGGTAGATGCCAATGAAAACGGCACCAAAACTCATGTCCAGCTTCAAAATAACTTGACATTTAGCCTATTTAGACTAAATGTAAATCGTTGAAACTTCGTATGAAAGATGTCAATTAGTCTAGGACACTATTGATTCTAATTAAAAGCTTAAAAGTTTATATTTTCAATTTTAAATCTTGAAATGAAGTCGGTACTTTTAAATGAGTTTTAAAATATGACATAAAAAAGTTCGTCGGCTGCTACTGTTTTAATTTTTTTTGTCAGGTTAGTTAAAAACGGTGGATTTTGTGGCTAAAGAGCTCAATTTCTTGGATCATATTTTTTTTTAAATTTATAAAGGAGAGTTGTATAAAGAGTTTCAGAAACCATCTTGTGACTTTGAAAATACATTGTAAACCAAACGCCAAACCTTTAATACGATATAGATACATATATTATAAATTAATTTGTAGCTTTTGAGAATTTTTCTTTCGCCCAAAAAGTTTTTGTTAAGTTTATGTAAACTAACTTATTGTAAGATACGGTAAACGCTAGAAAACAAATTAAAAGCATATTTTAAAGGTCATTGTTCAACCGTCATTAATTGTTACATACCAACCTAGGGCCTATTGGTGACATTGGGCAGGTGGAAGTCTAAATTTAGTTCATTACAATTACGTCAATGACCTTGAGCTCTGCTAGTAAGATGCCATGGTATGGTGGCGTGTCGGGGAGAAGGGTAAAGGGGATTAATTATTGTTCATGCTTACTCATTCGCTCTTACCCACAAACAAACTTATTTCAAGCCTAAAATGAAGAATGTAGATCTAACTTCTATATTTGTTTGTAAAACGTCAGTCTTAGAGGCAAGATGCCTGCGCGGTTCATCACTAGTCACTGTCTTTACTACTTTTTTTAGTAAGCCTATGTGTCGATTATGTATCTTGTAAATGTAAAATCAAGATGACGTTGTTCAAACTAAGATATAAGTTTAGACTTCCTTGTGTGACCAAAATAGTCGCCTATAGAGCAACAGAAGAATCTGCCATTTCTTATAAAATTAGTTTTATCGACATTTGCAGACAGTTCTATATAATTGTTGTTAACCCTTAGAGTGCTAGGCGAGAAATAAAAGTAACGCTCAAAAAATGCCGATGATTTTTCCCGAAGGTCGCGCTAAAAATGCCAAGCGCGATCTGGCGATTTTTAGGTTAAAATTTTGTAAAAATCGAATTTTCGATATTTCGACCAACGAAAATCGATGTATTGCATCTAGTAACTTTCGACTCAATGTTAATATATGGGTTAAAAGAATCCGAGTATCCATTCGGTTGTTATGACAACTGTTCGATCATTACGAAACGTCCGGTCAGCCGGACGTTGGCACTTTTGGCTCGTTCTAAAAACGTCCGGTCGGCCGGACGTCGGCACTTTTGGCTCGTTTTAAAAACGTCCGGTTCCCCGGACGTTGGCACTCAAAGGGTTAAGGAAACCCAAAATCTATTGGCAATCATAAATTAATATGATTTGAATTTTTTGCCTCCTACAAATGAAATACCATGTGCATATTGGTCCTCTGGTCCTGTTAATACAATTTTGTGAAGGGTTTCTTTTATAGCTTAAAACTATATCATTGCACAAGCATTTTCAATTTTCAAGGACTCTCTGCAGTTTTGCGTACTCTTGCAACTAGTAATTCAAGAATCAGTTTGATGACCGATTAAAAATAATGTGTTGATACGTTATAAAAATTCAACTGTTAAATATCATAGTTTTTGAGGGTGGGACTGGAAATTTAGACTATATTAAAGATTTAAAGTTATAAGAACGAAGGAAGTAGAAAGAGAAAAAAAGATTTTGTTCAAAAGTTAGCTGGTTCTATTGTTAAAAAGTAAAAATTTTTGAAAAAAGTAACAGCTTTAACATCAACAGAACCCATGCCCACAATCAAGTACAAATTTTTGAAAAAATTAACCAGCTTTACAATCAACAGAACCCATGCCCACAATCACCCGAAACACTGAAGTGATGCAGAAAAGAATTCGGAAGAAAAATGCTGTGAATGCATTCTTTATAAAGGATGGTAATAGTACAATGACACCTGGAAAAAACAAACAATAACTAGAAACAAGGTAAAAAAACAGATTAGATACTTAAGTAATACATTGAAACACCTACACAAGAAATTTTTGAGTGAGAACCCAGAGTTTGACATATCTTACTCATTGTTTTATAAATATAAGCCTTTTTGGGTTAAAGAACCTTATTACTCAAATAGAGACACTTGCCTCTGCAAAACACACAAAAAATTTTAACTATTGATAAAAAAACTAAAGTCTTTGAACATAATAAGTGAAAACTCATCCATGGATGTTGTGCAGGCTATGACTTGTAATTACACAAAAACCACAGAACACAGAAATGCCTGGAAAGGAAATGTCAAAATTGTTCCAACAAAGTGATTACATTCAAAGAACATGATCCAATGGAAGGCACATGTTTAACAAAATGGGTTACCAAAAAAGTTTCTTGCGACCAGATCGTAGGAGTCCTCCCATCTCCGCAACTGGTTACGCAAGGAAACTGCATTTTTTATAAGTTTAGGCAGAACATTTGTCTGTAAAGTGTAATGATTAGGCCTATCAGTTTATCAGTTACAAGTTTTATTAAAATGATATCAACACTTTGACATGATTTGTGTTATTTAAAGCCTCCTTAACCATTTGATCAATTCCGTCCTAGTAGTGTCCATTCCGTCCCACATATTCAAATAATATTTAAAAATATGGTTAAAATAATTGGTTTAAATAATATGGTTGATCATTAACAAAATCACATATTTGTCTGTGTATTTTTGACTTGATTAGGTAATTCATTAATAGTAAATTCACAGTTAAGCTTTTTTGGTAAAATATCATATCGATAGGTGCGTTTTCGGAGGAAGCAACCTCTTATTATTCTTTTTTATTCGGCCTATAATTTTTTTTTAACACCAAAGAAACATGTCTAGTTCATAGTTAGTGAATTTTTACATTTTACATGAAAAATAACATCTAAAATCAACAAATTTACATGTTTGATGTATCCTCCGTTACAAAGTTGTATCCTCCATTCAAACTAATTTAAAAAACACATTATATTGAAAAAAATAATAGTTAAAGTATGTGACCATAACTTTATTTGTATTTAAAAAAATATTCTGTACAATGTAGCAAAAAACCATTTTTTTAAATTATTATTTTAAAAAATAAATTTTTTTTTAAAGTAGGGATTTTTAAAGAACCGTCCAAAAAAGCACCCATTTTGGAATATTCGCCATTTTGGCTAGGGGTGAGATATTCACCTCGGATTTGCGTCATTGTGTTTCTTTTGACAAACCCTTAAAAATGAGGGGTCAATCAATAGGGGTTTCTGTTTGAAAAAAAGTCACCCCCTACCCTGTTAGGGGGGTTAAAAAATATTATTGATGCAAAAAATTGCGGAACCTTTGTTAACAATTATTGCCACAAACAGAATATTTCTATCTATTTCGGTTTTAAAAATACAGATTTGTTTCAATACTTAACCAGCTGTTGGCCCATCCTACGTACGGGAATCGAGTAGTCAATTAAAACTGAATATGATTCAGAACAGCTAGTTTACAATCTGGTGGCTGATTCACACACACACTGGTTTTGAGTACTACATACCACCTTCCATTACATACTATCACTTACCATACCTTATTTTACCTCCGTGGCCACTGAAACCTCTAAAAGGATCCTGATCTCCCGTTCTCTTCTATCCCCTGCCTTTTCTAATGAAGGTACCAGTCTGAAGATGTCTTTCATTTCTTGGTCTTCCAAGTGGTCGTCTACCTTGTAGTACTCCTTGGAATACACTTTTAAAATTTGACGTATCTTCTCTCCTCCACGCAAAGCCTGCCCAGCCCATCTGAGCCTTTTGGCCTACTTTTGGAATGTGCCCCTTTATAAAGTTTCTGAATCATACAGTACTACTGGGATAGTTATGGTATGTTATGGATCGATTTTGGTTTCTACTGAAACCATGCAGGTCATTGGGCAGTTTTCTAGAGACCTACTACACCAGTTGACATTTTCATTACGAATAAAATTGGTATGCCGTCATACACATATTCGAACAGCAAGGAAAAGATGTATCAACATAATCCACTTATATCTTAAACGATTAAGCAAAAATTTCATGACATCAACTTATACTTTCACAAATTGCATTTATGACAAAACTTGAATATAATTTTGAGATGTTAAGTTCGAAATTACATATCTCCTGATAACGCAGATCTTTTACGGTAGGAAAAAACTACATTTTAAGGTGAAATAGTATGTAGGCAAACGATCAGTATTTTTGTAAACAAACAACTTGTAACATAAACATTTCAATGACAGTTAGAAACCAGCTGTTAGTTCAACCAGCGCTGCAACGAAATTAAATTGCTAGCGTCAGCTGCTAGACTTTTGAAAATTAAACCTAATTTCAAAAGAACTGAAACCCTAAACTAAAATTAGGGCTTCGACATTCCCTAGTTTTTAAAATTATCTTTCTTTCAACACAAAAATCATGAAAATCTGTCAAGTGGTTGATTCAGAATCGTGAAATAAAAAAACCCTGTCACGTTATATAAGATTTACACACTGTATAAAAAATCCAATGTATGTTTGTTTGTTTGTTTGTCCTTTATGTACCCCGAAACTGCTCGACAGATTGTAATGAAACTTTCAAACATTATTAAGCATTTAAGGATGGTTTGTGTGAAGTTTGGTGCAGATCCGTCAAAAGGGCTTCGCCCTGGTAGTTTCCTATGTTAACCTTATGAGTACTCATATTTAAATCGAATTAAAGAATCTTAACAGCTAGTTCAACTAAACAATTTGATTCTGTGATGTTCAATAGCATTAAAAAGTTAATAGGTTTACCAACAGGGTGCAGCACTATTATTTTTTAAAATTCATGACAACAGCTAATTTGTAACCAAAAGGTGAGTGAGCGTAGTGAACGAACTTAAACCTGGAGGTGAGTTAGTGTAGCAAACGAGCTCCTACCCAAAGGTGAGTAAGCATAGCAAAAGAACTTCAACCAGGACGCGATTGAGCCATGCGAACGAGCTCATCTTGAAAATGAACAAGCATTGACATAAAACCACATTAGGACAGGACGACGTCTGTCGGGCCAGCTAGTATTAAATTCAGCAATTGGAAATTTGCTTAGTCGGCAGGTTTGCTGCGGCGGGGGTATTTTATTTACAGCGTGGGGTGAAAATAAAGAAGTTTTCAAAATACATACTTTTGGTCGAGTTTTCGACCACGGGCCAGTTCTAATATTATAATCACCTTATCAAACTAAATCAAGGCTAAATTCAATATTACATTGTAAACTATATGTTTTTCGATTTTATGAGATTTTGGTTTCAAACTATAAAAAAAACTTGGAAATTTACAACAAAAACAGTTTTATTCAATGTTTACTACATGAATCCGGACTTTTTTGTTATATATTTGTTATTGTCTTACTATTTCAAACTAGCCTAATTAATAAAATAGTGACAACAATACAATAACAAGTAATGGAATTTAAAGACATACAAAAAAGTCTTACTAAATACGAATTATTGGCCTAACACTGAAAGGGTTAAATATGGTGAATAAATATGTCTTATTTATTGAAATATTTTAGTAAAAATTTAATTAGACAAGTTAAAATTCGCTTAGTCTGCATGTTTGCTGCGGCGGGGGTATTTTGGGTTCAAGCAGACATCAAACGTCCCAAACGGATAAATATCTTAAACTTGGTCATTTTTATGAAACCAATACTTTCTTCAAAGGGGGAGAAAGTATAAAATACTTTACAAAGACTATTGAAGATGAACATCATTCTTAATTTAACAACTATTAAAAAAAAAAATATGTTCATAAAATTATGTTTCATTTCTTCAAATACGAATAATTTTTGGAGAGGAGTGCGGATGTTCATATTTTACATTCATATGAACATTACATTACATTCATGTTTGTTAGTATGTATTGTTGGGATACTACTTCTTAGTAGTAAGGGGCCCCGCTATGAATGTTTGCACTGCGCTTAGCACTACCTAAAGCCAGCTCTTCCATCTTATTAATAAACATAAACTCCACAGTTCCATCACATGTACTGTATTGTTAAAAGTTGTTAAACTCCTTTTTTTGGTTGTGTCATAACAGTTACTTCTCCTCTGAAGAAACCTATTTTAAATCAACCTTTAATTATGCATATTTTCTTTCAGAACAACTCTGAAGACCATCAAAGGAAACTTTAAAAAAATAATCAGGAACCCACTTGATATTCTTCTGACATGTTATGGAATATTCTTCTTACATTGAATTATTAGAAGACAAAACACCTGAATTGAGTTGCTCTCTTGTAGAAATAAAAGAAAATGTCTGCCCAAAAAACACGAACCCATGTAACTACAAGTTATCCATCAATGATATAAATAACTATGATAACTTGAATGACAAATTCTTTGGATTTGATACACCCTCAAAAAGTAAATTGAATGATATTAAAAGTTTAATAGAGAAGATTGAGGGGGAAATAATTTATGATGTATTAGAAAAAGATGTTATAGATGGTATAGAGTTTTTATCCTTTGCATCAGAGCAAGAGCTCACGGATTACACAAATACTCAAATGCAAGATTTTCGTGCAAATGCCTCTGATGACGGTTTAGAAATCCTTGATGATGGAACATTTTCCAATATAAGTTCCAACCATGCAATAGTTCCAACCAAAACTCAAGATATTACACGGATCAAAGGATGGAGAAACAAACATTTTGCCGGTATAAATATTATCGAGGACTCAAGAAATTCGTTTAGAAATGATGATGATGGTTTCGGTGATGACATAGAGATGAAAGTTCAAGATGAAAGTTCGGAAGAAGTAGAATCAGTTGGTTATGAAGCTTCAATTGCATCTAAAAACGATTTTGAAGGTGATCCAACAACAGATGTTGATCTGTTTAGGCGAATAGATTCACCTGTCATTGAAGACTCTAATGCTGTTGATAATGCCGAGGTTTTCAACTTAAACAAATCTCCAAAAAGATTAACCAATGACTTGGGCAGTTCTTCAAGCAAAATATCTGTTCCAAGTAATGTTTTAGACTTCTCATTTGACAACCTCGGTATTAGAGAAACGTTAACACCTGATAAAACGTCAAACATAACAGAAAATTATAATCTAGGATTAGCAAAAAAAGGTACACATTTTATTTTGCCACTGACTTCTCAAGACAGACAACCGTTTTCTCTAGAAAGTAAGTCAGTTTACCAACCAAGGGTTAAAACCGACTTTATTGATATGATTGCAAGAAAAGTGAATGCTGACTTCTCTCATGAAGAAAAAACATTACCTTCTGTATCTCTTAATAAAGTAGAAAAAGAGATAAGATGGCGTGTTTCTAAGGAAAAACTCCTCTCAGGAAACATATATGATATCGAGCTTTCAACTAATATTGATCATAATCCACCAGATTGTGACCTGGCACAATACAGCGATTCTAAAGAAGTGTTTGCACCTGGAACCTCTAAAAGTGAATTTCCAAAAAAGGGTTCCATCATTAATTGTACAGATGTAAAGCTAAGTAATCCCAATATTTCGGCATTCCAAAGTACTACTCTAGATCAGTACACAACTAATCTTGGAAAACTTCACATTGATTTTCCAATTCCTAATTTGCAAGCTGCTGATAACGTTACTCATGAAGAAATTATTTTGCCTGTCCTAGGAAGTACAGTCACAGTTCAAGAAAGACTAAAACCTAAACAGGTCGATAAAATTAGAGCCAAAACAGTTGCTGAAAAGAGAAAGCTGTTGACTGAACTATCTTTCAATCAACGTTCCAAAAGGCAACAAAAGGTTTCATTTAAAATTAGGGCAAAAAATGAAATTACTGATACTAAACAGATAAAACCTTTAAGAGAAGAAATTAAAAAACACAAACGAGATAAAAAGTTTAGTGAGCAACGCCAACCTCTTTCTAAAAAATCGGGAACTTCCAAATCATTGTTTGACACACAAGGTGTTATAACATATGGTAAAGAGAAGCCATTAAAATCTGTATTTCGCAAACGTTTGATAGCATACCAAAAATCATTGTTGCCATCTGATTTTGAAATCGGCAACAGCTTACCAAGTAGTTCCAAAATTGGTATGATTCTGAACATAGGAATGTCTAGACCATTATTTAGAGAAACCAGTGACAATGTTAAAAGGTTTGCATTAGATGGAGAAGGAAATATAACAAAGGAATACGCCTTATTTTCTGCATGTGCTGTACAAGACCCTCAATCCCAGTTTACTGTTAAACGTATCTTAGTTCCTGTGGTTGATAAAACTTTACAAGAAATAATGTCTACTTCAAAAAACACCAGACAAATTCCTGAAAATACAACGATATCAAATAAAAATGGGAATGGAAACCCCCTGTTGGATATAAACCTTTTGGGTACAACTGTAGAACTGTCTGAAGAAACAAAAGCCGTTGGAATACAACATGAAACAAATAATGATGTGTTGGAGATTGTCAATAATATGATCAGGTATGTTGATCACAAAGAGCTATTTGAAAATGTCTGTTACAATTATGACCCTGATGTCCCAGCATCTTATGAACAAAAATGTGTTGAATCACCCTCTCTGGAAACAAGTCACAAAAGGAAAAAAACTAGGCTGCAAATACAAATTGAAAAACTCGGAGGAACTTTCATTTCTGTTCAAGGAGAAGAAGGGAATGAAGAAAACCTGGACATGTTGGAAAAAGAGAAAAATTGTGTTAAAGATTCTTGCACTATGGGCTGTGTTTGTCCTTATAGGACAATGAGAGTTGAACATTGTGGGAAAGAGAGCTGTATGTTTTCCTGTCAATGTCCCTCTTTTTCAAGAAAACAAGGGTTGGAAATAAAATCTAAAACATGGCTTCTTCCTGAAGTTTTAAGACATCATAATCTCTCTCAATCAAAACTCGCTCCTGTAGAAAGAGAATATCATCAAACAGTTATAATGTCAAAGGACAAAAGAATAACTATCGAAACCAAGCACAATAAAAGAAAAAGAAAACTACCTTCAAAGTACAAAGATGAAATACTTTTTGACTTCAGAAAAGACATAGACGATGATACTTTCATAGTAGGTGGTGTAAACGAAAAAGAAACCAAGCAAAACTGTAATGAATACAAAGAATTACCAAAAAGCCCAAAAAAGCACCTTTCAAGACCAGTTATTCAATCTCTGGACTCATTTTTGAAGGAATCCACTTTTGCATGTAAAAGTGCATTTAAGTTGAGCTATGTGCAAATTGAAAGCAGTCAAATTATAAATCAAATGGCTGTAGATGGCAAACTATCCCCTACTGCTCTTCAATACAACAAGATTTACAATCATTTAAAAAAAAGTAACTATGCTGAGCCAAAATCCAGAAATGTTGCTAGAAAAAAGACAGGATACTCCATCAAACAACACTTTAATGTTCAGGACTTCTGTTCAAGAACTTATGGGGTTGCTGAAGATTATGTTTTAAGAAATCATTTGGGAAAAATTAGAACAAAGAACTTCATGCTATATCCTTCTTATCAAGAAAAGTCTTTTTCACTTTTTACTCAACCTACATTAGATAATAACGAGAGAATCGTGAAGGAAGACCTTGTGGAAAACACGTCAGCAGATTTTGAAACTGAAAATGAAATTGAGGAAAAGAACCCGAACGAAGAAGAGCGGGGTCTACAGATCGAATTTGTGCATTCGATACCACCACATTTATTTGAGGAGCAGGAACAGAGTGTTGAGATGGAGAAGACTGATGGATCTAGTCCAATATGTGAGATAGTGCCATCTAAGTTGCCTAACAGCATCCTCAATTGTGTTAATGACATGGAAAACAATACCGTTATTGGTAGACAAGATCAGTTTTTTTACACTGCACTACCAAAGACTGAAAATGAATGTAAGTGGTGGGTTGTTGAGTTGGACTATACCAAGTTTACAGATTTAATTTACTACTCAGAAAAAAGAGCATTATCAGTTGCACACATCAAAAAAGCCATATTTGATTCACAATTCACAAATACAACAATTAAAATTGTCTTAAAGAATTCTGGAAGCAGTTTTAAAGATATATTTGGAGCCTACTTTGTAGGAGGATTCCACCATCTCATATTTTTTGGACCATATGAACTGTCTGAAGCACATGGAATTACAGCAATAAGACATATAGATGAAGAATTTTTTCAGGTACCATTCATAAGTAAAAACTCCAAGAGTGAGCCTTTTAAACCATTAGGTGTAAACACGTCCCCGATGAATGAAGAAAATAGTCAATCCGTTTTGAATGCAGTTAATGCAGTTTGGTTGTACAGCACAAGTAATAAGGGAACAATGAAAAATACCGTTGAAAGTAGAAGTGTTCAAAAAACAATTTTCAATGTAACGACAGATAATAATAAAAACTATGGTTTGCCAGAAAGAGACATTCCAACAAATGAAAGTGAAAATTACATGGACAGAACAGATGATGGTGACATGGTCAGAGGGTTTGAGGACGATATAACTATAGAACAGGACCCTTTAAAAATTGAACCTTTGGACTATTTTGAAGAAAGTATACCATATAGTTCAAATGGTGAAAATTGTACAGATACTTATAGCAAGGAAAATGACGATTGTTACATGCATGCCACCAAAAACTTTCACAATGGAAGTACTGATATTATAAGAACCGAAAGTGAATCTGTTGAAGTTTTAGAAAACCCTGTTGAAGTCCCAAGTAAAACTCAAGCTATTTCATCAACTAGTAGGCCTAAACTTTCTTTTTGGGGAAAAGTGGCTAAAATGAAAACTTCGCCATTTAATAAAAGTAAAACTTCTCCTGTCACAAATAAAAGAATACAAAATACATCATTAACAGCAAAAGAAAAACATCAAAAGCAAGATTTGAATATGAATGCTGAACCCCTTATTTCATTACGGAAAAGGATTGAAAGTTTAAAAAATATTCAAGAGGCAGCTGTCTCTAAAAATATAAAATCGAAGGAAGAATTTGGCGCTGATAATACATCTGATATGTATATTGACAATACATCTCTGTGTGATGGGGATGTGAACATTGAAAGTCTTGAAGAGACAAGCAGTTCTCTGCCAGCAACATCGCCTACCCCTATGTTAAAGAGAAGAAGGATTACCCATAAACCCCCAAAACAAGCTCCAATTTTTAAAGAGGTAAGAGTTAGATTTTGTACACAATTTAGACTTATTTTTTTGCTTTTAATCAATAACAGATTAATGTTTAAATCAATAGTGTAAAAATTAGTTTTATAACATGTTAGGCAATTAGGACACGACGGTGCAACTGCGCAGGTGATTAAGAAATTAGTAAGCGGATTAATTTTGGGACCCGGGTGGGATGGTCGTGCTGGGCATGTTTACCCTAAAGCCGATTATGCACGGTTGATCGCACCTTGAATTGTGCTGTAGGACTTTTAGTCACTCTTGGTCAGTATTGGTTAAACATTGAAATTTATTGTATAAGGCAACATTTACCTAAGTGTATTACATTTTATTTTTTATTTAATTTCTAAATTAAATTCCCCAAATTTTAACACAAAATTAGATATAACGTAAAATGTTCTCAATAAGAATAGCATTAGAAGCCGTCCTGCTATCTGACGTGACATTTTTGCGGAACAATATTGCACAGTCTGTAGACTACCCTCGACGAAGCCACATGTGCAGCACGACCAATTAGTTCAGGTAATCCCTAAATTCTGAGAACAACATGCGCAGCTCAACATCACCCGGCAATTAATTATTTTGGGTATTAATCTAACTTTGGGGTATAATATCTATTTGTTTTCAAGAAAAAAAAATGTTTAATTTAACCAATATTTTTCTTTGGTGTTCTATTTTTAAAGGGAGGGCCTATTCCAGTGGTTGGAGATCGGGACTTCAGTCAAGGAGGCCCTGGTTTCCCAAACATAAAAAAATCTTTATTGGTTGTAAAAATACAAAGGTATCATTGACATATCATAAGATGCAGTGTAACTGCCAGGTCATACAAGTTTTCTTTTAAAATATCTAAAATGTAATAAAATTGAAAAGATAATAAAATATGTATATGTACAAGATAGGTTAAAAAAATACAATCACAAATATAAACTAAAACTGCAAAAAAAATCCAAGAATACAAAAACTGGACATCTTCACAACTAAAAAAATCGGCTAATCTATAAAAGTGTCTTAACAACTACAAGTAAAGGTTATTCTTGAGATCTCTTAATGGCCTATTTGCAATTTGTGTTTATGTGATAATACTTACTTATAACTTTTTTTTATAATGAGTGTCACCGGTATAAGGATATGGGGATGTTTCCTCAACATGTTTATTTAGTAACTCGGAAAAATTTGTACACATCCATGTAAAAACTATGACTATTTTCAGCCAACCCAGAGTGCACTACCTATGGGCCTGGTTCAGAAAGAAATCACCAACGGCCCTTGTCCTGAGAAGGCTCTGCTGTGTCTGACCCCCGGCATCGGGTATATCCCCGTCATCCAGTTTGATCCAAGAGGTGGCCATATAGTGATTGAAGATCCTTCCAACCCCAAATTGGAGCACCATTTCCAAAAGAAAAGTCTAGCAATCAAGTGGCTCAACCAGTGAGTACCTTTCAATGAGGATTAGTTATTTGTGCAACTAGGTCTAGTAAGCAAAAGGCTAGAGAATAATTTTATAGAGTTTAAAAAAAATACACGTTGATCACAAATAGCACATTAAAATTTTCCACAGTTTTTAGAATGTTACAACTGAAAGATTATGATGTGCTCAACAAACATACTTACAACACTGAATTTATGATGTTTAAGTAAACTACCTATCCAACCTATGATCACTGTCAGCTATTTGTTTGTTTTATTTGAATGATGTTATTAACTTTTATAATAACATATATAAACTTTTATATAAATATATTTTTTATATACACATATATAGATTTTCACAATACATATATATATATATATATATAGACTACATCTGTGGACGCGACTTGAGTCATTTTTGTCCGATTTTCATGAAATTTGGCTTGAAGGTGTAGGGCGGGTTTAATTTGAATGAGTTTGCGAACCAGCATGATCGGACCATGGGAATGGGTCTTGTGGGGGGTTTTATGGGGTAAAAATTGGGTCTCAAAAATGTTTAACCCTCAAAACATACAATTTGCCAATTTCTCTCTAAACTATTTTAAGAGCTTAAAAAACAAATAATTTAGTATATTGACGTGTCCTTTAACGGTTATTAGTAAGGAGTAAAAATGTTTTATTTAAAATCCCCTTGTAATTCTTATAGAGAATAAGTAAACTATTGTAGTTTGATTGTTTATGGATATATTTTGATCAAACTTTGCAAATTTATTAATCTATATCTAAAAGACGAAGTATGTATGTATATACCCTATGGACTCCAAAACCACTCAACATACTTTAATGAAACTTTCAGGCTTTATTAAGCTTTATACAAGGATGGTTTGTGTCAAGTTTGGTGCAGACCCGTCCAAACGGCTCCGCCCCAGTGGCTCTGGAGTTTCCCATGTTAACCTTATGAGTACTAATATTTAAATGGAATTAAAGATTCTAACAGCTGTTTCAACTAAACAATTTGATTCTGTGATGTTTAATAGCATTAAACAGTTAACACTATTAAATTTTAAATTTCACTAAAAACTATCTACATACAGCAAATCTATGGAACACAATCATTATTCTCTTTAGCGTTCTATTCAATCACCTTATTACTGTTGCGAAGCACGGGTATGACTGCTATTATTATACTGAAATATTTGTTAAAAACACACTTTATTACCCTCCCTGTAGCAACAAACCTAGATGATTGTTTACATAATGTTAATTAAATAGATTTTATTGAAATTCTATTCAGGTGAATGGAAATTTACTTAGTCTGCAGGTTTGTTGCGGCGGGGTTTTTTTAATATTTAAATAGATTTTCCACTCGCTTTTTAAAGAGATTTCGTACAGGCATAGATTGTCCGTAAGCTATTTTGTTTGTTTTGTTTGAATACATCCTTTATATGTATTTTATTACTTATTGTTTTGATCAATCGAAAGCCTGCAATTACCTTGTACTGTATTACAAAACGTACTCTTGTTATACAAAATTAATCTAAACTTTCATTCTTTCAACAGCCATATTGACATCACTCCTTTTAAAAGACAGTAAGTGGTTTGCAAACGCTGTCTTTATCTACTTTTTAAAAATAATCCCAAACTTCTGACCGTTAAGGTTCACTACCATAACAATAAAACTGGTTGTAGGTCTGTATTAAATCTGTTTCTAACAACTAACACATAATCTCACTGACATCTTATTTCTAGGAATAGGAATTGCTGTTTTACATTCTTATTCCGGTTCGAATACATTTTTGAATGCTTATTCCAGAAACTATTTGATAGTTTAAAATATTCTATACCCAATAATCAATAGTTTAAATTAATCAATAGTCCCATCACTAGCTAGGGGGCTAGTACGGGCCTGCTCGGGGGAGCGAGCTGATCTAGTGGTTAGAGCACGGGACTTCGGTCCAAGAGGTCCTGGGTTCAAATCCCGCCTAATCACCAATGGATTTTATCAAAGTGATAATGCCGCAACTCCTAGGTCTAGCCTGAAGTAATGTGAAAAACAATCCCAGGCTCGTGCCTAGCGTCCTAGGACAAAAAAAGTACGGGCCTGCATACCAATTCTTTTAGGCAAATCTACATACTGTAAGCTTCATTTTCATGTGCCATATGCCTATATTTTTATTTGATAAAAGGCCTTACGATAACCAATAATTTGACTGTAGCACATTAAAACTATAATAGATATTTATATATAGATTTACCATAAATACTTATGGCTGTTATCGAGTGAAAATGGTTCATACTGCTTATGTGTTTCAGATTTTTTAAGAACCTATTTGTCTTTGATCCTCCTGAGTTTGAAATGCAGTGGTTGATAATGCAGGGTTCCATCATTCGTAAACTCTTGCCTTTAAATAGAGATATATTCAAATTCAACAATAGGTCTTTGGTGAGTATTAACCTGTGCAATTGTTCTATTTTATAGGTAGTAACTAGTATTTCCTCAATAAAAATCATTTTTTTTGACGTATTTCACATACAAGCAGTTAAATGAACGAGAGGCCCTACATTTCTAGTTAATTAATGTTTTACAAATATTAATGAGTTTTTATATGTTACCGGTAAATGTTTGAACAATGATCTAACCGGTTAGGAAATTCCCCATATAAGGAATAGTCCAATACCGTAAGTCTTATGGCAAGACCTGGACCCGGGACCAATTATTTTTTACATTCTCCCCCTATACCAGTATATGGAGAAAGTATTGTTTTCGTCAAAAGTCTCATGGCAAGATCTGTGTGTCTGGGTGTGTACAGAGCTAGGGACTACACCTGTGGTCCGATTTAAATTAAATTTGCTGTGTAGGTTTTAATCCATGATATCTCCAGGCGTTTTTTCATTTTTTAGACATTTTGATTTTTAATGTAGATTTTCCCATTAACACCCATAAAATAACAGAAAAATCAGATTTTCTAAAAAATGGCCCGAACGATTTTGATCAAAGTTAAGTATGTTGTAGCCCTTCTGAACAAAATGGTATAACTCCCATTCCTGTAAAAATTACGGTTCAAAAGTTATTGTAAATTATTTTATTTTCCCATAAAAACCCCTATAAAATAACAAAAAATAGGATTTTAGAAAAAAAGGTGGTTTTGATTTATCTTATTATGTTACGGTCATTAAAATTTTGAAAGTTTTTTAAATTTTTTGAAATTTTTATTTTTAATGGGGATTTTTACCATAAAACCCCATAAAATAACGGAAAAATCTGATTTTCTCAAAAAGGGCCTAAACGATTTTCTTTAAAATCTAGTATGTTACAGTCCTTTAAATTATGAACAAAATGGTTCAAATCCCATTTCCGTAAAAATTACGGTTTAAAAGTTATTGTAACTCATGTTATTTTCCCATAAAATACCTAACAAAAAAATCTGATTTTTCGAGAATAGCTGGTTTTTATCAAAATTAATATGGTATGGTCCTTATATTCTAAAAAATAGTACAACACCCCCATTGCTGTAACAATTACGGTTCAAAAGTTATTGCAACTTTTGTGTTTTTTAACTATAAAATATCATATTTACTCTCACCGCTAACCCATGATAAAGGTTGTTGACGAGCTTATGGGAGAAAGTATGTGTCAGAATTCTTATTCCGTTTATTTTGTTTTGATGTCCCCAGAGGCCAAAAACATCATTCATTAAAATTCATATACACATAGCCTATAATAAGATTCAACATTAAAAACTAAGTAGGCCTACTTTTTTTGTATAAAATTATTTATTAATATGCGGCACTAAGGCCATTTTCAAAGTAAAAAAGTCAAATTCAAATATGACTAAAAATATATTATACTATAACATTTCTAACTTGTTACATTATTGTATCTTCCTTCATTGATTCATTTACATACTATAATGATATAATTTTTGACCCTTAAAACACAAATCTCTAAAAACCATTATGCAGAGCTTTAAAAAACCAAATTATTTAGTATGTTGAAGTTTTTGTGTGCGTTATTACTTTTGAAGGTAATGCACTAACTTGTAAATTTTAAATGCCCACGTTATTTTTATTGAGAATAAGGAAACTGTTATTTGTAGTTTGCTTGTTTATGGATATATTTTGATAAAACCAAATTTATTTATTCTACTTAGCTATTATCATTTTACTAAAACACACACTACCCCTCCCCCCACCATAGCAGCAAACCTAACTACTCGTTAAACCTAATGGTATCCAAACAGGGAATAAATCGGCCATGTTTAAGGAAATATTTAAGTAAAAATCCTATCAGACAAATATAAATTTGCTTAATTTGCAGGTTTGCTGAGGCTGGATATTTTTGTTATTTGATTTTTTAGTAAATTATGATATCTGATCACAGACCATAAGGCCTACTGGCCTCCAAATGAAGCAAATCAGTGGGGCTAATCAGGTTGATTTGGAACATCAAGCATTGTCATCTCCAGAGAAAAAAATAATAGGTCGTAGCACATTGATCAGAAGGAATCGGCAAGCCTGCCTAGAATCTGTGCATCACAACAAAATGAAAAAATTACTTGAGTGTGACGAACAATTGGATAACATGATAGAGAATCCTAACCGGTCAGGGAACCATCATCTGAACCAAGTAAGTTGCATAGAGTTAGAGTTTTAAAGTTTAAATTATTAGCGATGTATACAGAAATATATTGAGAAGTAATATGTCCATTAACACATTGCCTACCGGCCGTCACACTCAGCTGTATGAGGGACGTTGTGAGACCTGGTAGTAAGGGGGTTAACATGTTGCCTACTGGCTGTCACAATCAGCTGTATGAGGGACATTGTGAGACCTGGTAGTAAGGGGGTTAACATGTTGCCTACTGGCTGTCACAATCAGCTGTATGAGGGACGTTGTGAGACCTGGTAGTAAGGGGGTTAACATGTTGCCTACTGGCTGTCACAATCAGCTGTATGAGGGACGTTGTGAGACCTGGTAGTAAGGGGGTTAACATGTTGCCTACTGGCTGTCACAATCAGCTGTATGAGGGACGTTGTGAGACCTGGTAGTAAGGGGGTTAACATGTTGCCCACTGGCTGTCACAATCAGCTGTATGAGGGACGTTGTGAGACCTGGTAGTAAGGGGGTTAACATGTTGCCTACTGGCTGTCACAATCAGCTGTATGAGGGACGTTGTGAGACCTGGTAGTAAGGGGGTTAACATGTTGCCTACTGGCTGTCACAATCAGCTGTATGAGGGACGTTGTGAGACCTGGTAGTAAGGGGGTTAACATGTTGCCTACTGGCTGTCACAATCAGCTGTATGAGGGACGTTGTGAGACCTGGTAGTAAGGGGGTTAACATGTTGCCTACTGGCTGTCACAATCAGCTGTATGAGGGACGTTGTGAGACCTGGTAGTAAGGGGGTTAACATGTTGCCTACTTACTGGCTGTCACAATCAGCTGTATGAGGGACGTTGTGAGACCTGGAATAAGAGTAGTGATGGTTGGCGTCAAGAGAGGAATTGAGCTACATTAGGTCAAAAGCTCACTTTACAGTGTATGTGGTTGACATCTACGTGCTCTTAGAGTGCACCCGCCTACTATACATAAGAGATGACCAAAGCAGTATGCGAGTGAATGTAAATTTGAATATTGTAGATTAATTTTATATTTTTAACATCATAATATTTTTATATTTCTATAATCAGTCATATAAATTATTTTAGATTGACTCTTTGATTAAGGTCTTGCTGTTTATGTTTTTTGTTTATTTTTGTAATACAAGTTTCAGTTTTTGCTCGATGTTGAGCAACGGGTTATCTAGTGTTATTTAAATTGGGAATAAATATGTCTTATTCATGGAAATATTTTAGTATTAGTGTAATCAGACAAGTTGAAATTCGCTTAGTCTGCAGGTTTGCTGCGGCGGGGGTATTTGATCTTAACATAAATATAGTTTGGAGTTACGTTATAATTTGCACAGTGATTCAGAGAGAAAACAACCTAAATATGAAAATCTGTTTTGCCCAGATCATATGTAACTAATTATCATGTTATTTGTTCTCAGATCGCAGGACCTAGTGGCCTCCAAAAGAAGCAGAATGATGATCAGAGTGATCTGGATTACCAAGAGACGTCTATATCTAAAAGAAGAAGAAGAAATGGTCGCAAATCAAGAATACTCAAGAAAATGCACGAAAACAAATCCTTGATGCATAACGAAATGGAGAAATTGCGACGGTCTGAATTGGCTGAACTAATGAATAATTTGGGAATGTTGGTTTATCCGACAGATTCCCCCATAAAAGTTGCCAAAGTCGGTGTATTGAACCAAGTAAGTTGCGCATTAGTTAGAGTTACAAAAAATGCATGTATAGCTATGGATTCAGTTAATCTCAGCTGGCTTGCCTTTATTATACTTGCTTGTCTTTCATTATTATAACATAGATATAAAGAAAAAATGCTGCTAATTTAAAACCTGAGTAAAGCACGGGTCACACTAGGCTGCTCACCAGCTGCTGGTGATCAGCGGCTGGCACCAGCACCACCAAGCAGCGGCTTTTGCATGGGTCACACTAGGATGCTTGTCAGCCACCGCGTAACGAATACTTAAGTGATTGTTGAGGATGTGTGAGAAACAACAGCTGTGAGGTTTTGCAACAACTTACTGTAAGCTGCTTCTTTGATGTTCCTACCTTGAAGAAATGTCCCACAAGCAAGCATAGTTTTGGAATAAATTTAAGGAATCAATAACCTGCTTCCCCGACCACTTAAGCTCAGTCATTTCTACGCTAAAAATTACTACTTTTAATCGCCTAGTTTACCAGGCCTTGGATACAAATACCCCTGCCACAACATACCTACAAACTAAGCAAATTTCCATTTGCCTCAATTGATTTAAAATTAAATCTATTAAATAACTTTAGGATAAACGAGTATCTAGGTTTGCTGACCTAATTGAACGAATGCACGGAACTGCCGCTGAGTTGTAATGACTGAATGAATACTTTTTCTTACAGTCACCCGACAAAGTTGGCTTCCTTGTACTGTTTATAGTACAGAAAGCTTCTAATTGCTGCATATTTATACTTTGTTGTACGGTTTATACTCTGGCGCACATCAGGATTCCAACGAAACAACACAAAACAGCGTGGTCAATCTGTGTACGCTTGAAAATAGGTTGGCAACACTATAATAATACTATGACCAGCTGATTGACTATTATAACTACGATTTAACCTGTCATTTCGTGTTTATAGTTGATGTTCTCTTTTCGGTATTTCTGAACTTTCTGGACTATTCTTTTAAACGTTTTTAAAACATTCCTACGATCTTAATAAACAAGAAAATACCTTTAAAGCATTTTTTTAGGTGCGGAAACCACTGCAAATTACAAAAATATACGGAACTATTTTCTCAAGTCGCGGAGCACATTGCTTGTCGAGGAAAAAATAGTGGAGTGATACGGACCTGAGACTACTTTCTCTAGGGCACATATTTGTGTTGCCAGCTGAACCTAAAAACGTGTTGTATAGTGTTTGAAAGACTAATTATTTATATGCTTTGTAGTGACTGTAGGAAAAATATAATGTGTAACACGAGTGCAAAAGGCCTTTTCCTGCACTCAAAATCATTTCGAGATCATTTCCTAAATGTTGCTCTCGTGTGCAGCAAAGTGCCACTTTGCTCATTAGTTACACAAATAACAATTTAAAACGACTCGATGATATCCGCACGTAGCTCAGGCGACCACTGCTCTATGACTACAAAGAATTGAATTGTGTAGGCTTTCCAATGAGCCTACTCCTACCACCCTCAGATGACCTGGTACTGAACAGTGTGCAGCAGAAAATATATTGTTTTTTTTTGCCGCACCCTGTTTTATCAATTTGTGTTAATTGTTATTGTTTACTTCTAGTTGTACTAATTAAATACTTTTACTTAAACTATTCTATTGGGGTAAATTCTTATTTTTATGGGTTTTATAGTCTACATTTTAACTATTATACTTTGCAACATAACTAAAGTTTATATATTTTTCAGGCTAAACTGATATGCATGGCTCAAAAAAACATTGAAGAACAATTGCTGAAAGAAGTTAAGGCGTTAAAGAAAATGAGAGACACTCTAAATCAAAAGTTGAAAAATATATTTGCAGGTAAAAACTGTTCTATTGTCTTAATTAGTCTAAAATTTTATAAATGAAGTCTTAAGTGCGCTGGTTGAGTAAGAATCAATAGGAACATTTAAAAATTTGCAAGTTTGTCAGACCAATTCAGCCAATCAACAAATAAACAATTTGTCCATACTACTCTGGTTTAATGGGCTTTCCGTCCACAAATTTAGTCTGGAAACCAGCTGTTTGCCTCCTGCTTAATCAAATGGTATTTCATTACTGGGGTAGTGAAATTGTACCTCAGCCAGATTAGTGATGTCACAATGACGTCTCATTTTCTCAACTAAATCGCTGTGTACAGGTCTGTATTGTAACTCCTCATGAAACTTTGATATTGGTATGTACAAATGGTCTGATAAAACCAGCATCTAAAATACCCCCGCCGCAGCAAACCTGCTGCAGACTATGTCAGCTGTTTCAACTACACAAGATGGTCTAAATATTCAATAGAATTATAAAGTTATAAGGCTTAAAAACAGGGTGCAGCACTATTTTTTTTAAATTTATGACAACAGCTAATTTGAACCAAGCAGCAACAAAAAGCTGTGATACACAATAAGAACTTGACTTTTTCTATTGTTTAGATGCAGTGGTAGAAAATTATAGCTTTGGTAGATGTGTTTTACTATAGTATACCGTGAATTAAAAGAACCAACTTTTATTAAACCGTGTCCTCTACCATTGCAAACGCAAAGCACGAGTATAACTGCAATAATAATTTTATACTTATACACAAAATGGAAACATTTTAATCTTTACATATATTGTCAAGGAAATTAAACAAATTCGTACACAAGTTTTTTCATAGAAATTTGGAAAATTTTTTTTATTTGCCTAATTTTCTTGACAATAAGTTAACTTATGTGACAATTCTAACTACTGTAGGCTATCCATATTTCCTTTATTGTCCATATTCAAGATTAATTTTAACTACCTATCTTAACTAGGCCTACAGGATTTTTAATAGAGATGCTAGTTTTATCCCTTCAAGTAGCCTAAGTATAACATATTGTAAATACTAGCTGTTGTACCCGTGCTTTGCAACGGGAAGAGGACACAAAATAGAAACATTTTAATCTTTACATCTGTTGCATATAATATTTACACATCCGCCAACGCTTTTAGAAACAAAATTGAACTTTTATGGCCTTAATAGAAATGTTTTAAGTTATGACTTTTAAATCTGGTAAGTAGTGGATACCACCATTTTGGTTTTGATTAATTTTAAATCTTGTGTAGGCTGATATGAGAAAAACTTACCAAATTTTTGAATAAAACTTTCACATACATGATTTACCTTCATCTCCCTTAGTTACATATCTTTTTTATTTATTTTTGACATTTTCAATTTTAATTTTGAAGTTGCAAAAATACTAATTATTAAATTTAAATGAATTTTTTTTTTAATTTCACTCTTCATATTAAATCACCAAATCCTTCCTTCTTCACTCACAATAAATCATAAGCAAAACTATGTCAGCTGTTAAAAACTTTGAAATATTTCATGTTGTTTCTTGTCTCAGGATTACTGTTTTAGATTATAAAAGGTATAATGTTACCTGGATCTGCCAAAGTAATCCAAATGCTGTCTAACGACTACGCGTTTCGAAGCAGTATAAGCTTCATCTTCAGGTCGTCAAGAACACATTTCACTCATGAGAGGTCGTCAAATAAATATAATTTTTACACATACATGGACGGAGAATAGTTACTGTAGGCCTACGAACCGCGTGCGCGCACTTAGACAGGTTTGTCATGACTGCGGCGGTGAGCGTTGGTCCCGTGAACTTTGTCCCTTGCCGGTCAGCTGTTCCTGGTTAGCTATTACAGTATCATACAATGCGTTTGACTGGAAATTTAGTTTGTCATTTAATAGATCATAACTATGGCTTTTTGTTGCTTTGTATATTTCGTACTCTTCTATGGCGTTCATGAAGCTTCCTTTTGTGCAAAAATGTAGGGGTGTCATATTTGTTTCAAAATTTGTATAGTTATGATTTTCATTAATGAGATGGGCTGCATAATTGGATTTTAAATGATTTTTTGCTTTTGGAAGGTGTTCTTTGAATCTGGTTTTGAAAGCACGGCCGGTTTGTCCTATATAAAAACTATTGCAATCATCACAGGATAATCTGTAAACTCCAGTTTTTTCACCTGTTTCTAGACTATTACTGGACGAAGGATTAAGTAATCGTTGTAGTTTGTTCGAAGTTCTAAACGCTACCCCGATGTTCTTCTTTTTTAGTTCGTGTTTCAGTATATTCGGCAGCCTTGTACCGGCAGTAAGTGTGAATAGTCCTTTAGGTTGGTTCAGTAGTTTTTGCACCTATTAGTAATACACATGCAGACAGACACCATTCGATTTTTATATAATAGTAATAGTATACAGTATAAGTCCGTGAAATTTGGGGAAAGCAAAGTGAAAGCTCTGGCGGTTTTCCGAGTTTGCGCCATTTAATTTCTCTTGATTTATCCATTAAAGTGAGGGGTCATACGTGGGGTTTTACGTATGAAAATTTGGGGCTGCCCCCAAAATACCCCATTTTGGGGGCCGGGGAAAAGTTGTCTCATTGATGAAAAGTGCAGTTTTTTATGTTGTAAAAATGTGCCGAGTTAGGTTTTCCTACTGAAACGCATTACAAAGTTAACTAGGGGTGTCCAGACTTTTGCCTAACCCTATATAAAGTATAATACTTATAATGATAATGATATTACAAACTGGGGCCATATTTTTTAAATGGTTGAGAGTTGAATCAGTCGTTAACACTCAACTCGACCAACAACAGGATTTGGTATTTGTGAAATTTAACAGTTGAGATGTGAGCTGGTAGTCACGAGTTAAGTGAATCGTTTGGAAATGAAAGCGGCAAAACTGCACAAAATACAGAGGACATAATTTTTTTGAACGAATCAAAGTGCAGAGTGACTTGCGAGCTTCGAGCTAACCTCTCACACTAATTCTGGATCCTTTTCTAAGCTAATCTCGATCTGTCATATTTTGAGAAACTGAAGTTAACTGTCAGCTTGGTCCGTATAGATTAAGGTTATGTCTCAAACCTTAGTTATTGCAAAAGTACCTTGTTTTAGTATTTGAAATAAAATTAACTATGGAGGCTTGTTTTAGGCTCATTATAGGTATACCCGTATAATAAATTATTTGCTTTTTTTGTCAAATACGGACGAATAACCTTATTTTAGTTCTCTTCATCATTTCGGTTAAAAGTAACATGTTACTTTTAATTGTGTTTGTGTTTAAGTCAAAGCTTTAATGGATATTTGCTGTTGCACTGAAAGCATACCGTAACTTAAATAAATTTTATCCCTTTACGAGGTGAATTGGTATTGAAACAAATTATGATGTTTCTCTTTACCACAATCTTTAATAAATCATGATAACAATTATCTTATTATAAGTTTAATTAACTAGTAGGCCTAGTCTATTTCAGAGTATTGCAAACACCCCAACAAGGATACAACCCTTGATTTTATAGTCTAGTTTTGACACATTAAATGTAATTTGTAAATACAATTTATTGTACAGAAAAACAAACAGAATAAAGTATCGGAAACTATGACAACAAATACATAACCTCTAATAGCAGTATGTAAACAAAGCAATTACAATATGGCGTCGACTCGAAAAGATCAATTTTTGTCGAGAGAGGAAAAAAAAAGTACAGTCAACCGTCCACTCAACAGCTCGATAGGTGGCGAGTAGTTTTGGCTGGAAAAGTCAACTACTGTCAATCGTTTGAAAATTAAGAAACGATTGGAAAGTGAGTCACTCAACAGTCAACCATTTCAAAAATAGAGTCCCTGGTGAAATTGTAATTAATGAGAGTACTAGTGTACATGTTGCTCGAATTCGAGCAATTGCAAAGTATTACAGGAGTTATTTCAAAACAAATAACAGTCATATTTACAATGAGTTTAAAAGAGTCAACTCAAACATTACCGGTGTGTAGCTCAGACCATGTTTATCTTCGTTATTGATAAACCTAAAGCATTACGGCCGGTTTTCTCCTTCCCAAAATGCCTCGCTGTACAGGCAACACAGGTCATTGATAGAGGGCCAATTGAGAACGAAAAGTCGTTTTGGGGTAGTGTTAGGGCGCATTTGTAACCTAATAGTTGAGATTGTCCAGGGTCAGGTGCTGACTGTGATGAGTTAAGCCTATTATGCACCACTGTTCTGTAGCTGCGGTCGTTGTCATGATTAAGCCTACTGTCTATGTTTCGTTGTCGTCACGTCGGAGGCATTTTAAAGAAAAAAACAACAAATAAACAAGTTATAGCTACACAAAACAAAGATAAATGCACAGATTTAAGTTACAATCATACTAACACGATCCGTCATAGCGACACAAAACAACGGTAAATACACAAATTTAAGATACAACCATACTAACACGATCCGTCTTGGGGGTTATGTTCACCCAAACTCAAATAGTATAAATGTACTCAATGCGTTTCATTGAATTGAAAAATAAATAACAGCAATTAAATTATACAGCTGATCAAAATGTAAACAATTATGTTCTTCATAAGGATAACATGGGAACTTTCAAAGCCACTGGGGCAGAGCCTAAGGAACTTTTTCAAAAATGTAAGGCCAGTTTGCAAATCTACGCGACACGCTCTTTCGAATGGGACGTCAATGGATAAAATCGGTTGAGAAATGGCGGAGGAGTTCAACCGACAATGTTTCATGTAGCGTATTAATGATATAGATTCTAATGTATATTCACTTGAAAAATATTAGAACAGATTATTTGAAAATTTTTCTAACATTAAATTTAGTTTTTGTTTCCTAATGATAATGATTTTTTGTAGATATTTGGGATCCTGAAGAAAAGAAGAAAGCTCTTGGGATCTGCAAGTACATACGATGTAAAGAATACACAGTTCAGTAAGTGTGTTTGAAACATTTAAACAAATCTAAATAATTGTATTCCTATACATTTTGTACAGAGAGAATATACTTGGAAATAATTTATAAAAAACTTCTTTAAAACAAAACGTTTTTAAACGCACTAAAAAGTAGAAAATAAATTATAAATATGTTATAAATACTTGTTATATTTAAAACGAAAAACGTGGGGTGCATGCAATAGATAATTTACAATTACCTTTACCTATTGAACTAATGTATTATTATCAATTAATTGCATGCACCCAACGTTTTTCGTTTTAAATCTTACAAGTATTTATACTCTCAACATATTTATAAATTATTTTCTACTTTCTAGTGTGTTTAAAAACGTTTTGTTTTAAAAACAGTTTTTTATTTATAAATTATTTTCAACTTTTTAGTCTTAAATGTGTAATTACAGCTGACTTAAATTAATTGATATGTTTACATTCTTTCAAAATGTAAACATGGAAAATGTGGAAGCCCATGGGGCGTATCCCGTCGGAAATATGAAAATTAAATGATATAATATTGCATTGTCATCCATTTGTGAGCTATGTTACAAATTTCAAGTCCCTAGCTCATCGGAACCTTTGTTTAAGATTGATATAAAAATTTGTAGGAAAGCTACTAGCGAGCTAATAAAAACAAGCCCATGGGGCGTAGCCCAAGGGAAATATGAAAATTAAATGATATAATATTGCATTGTCATCCATTTGTGAACTATGTTTCAAGTCTCTGGCTCATCGGGAACTTAGTATAAAATCGATTTCAAAATTTGTACCGGACAAGAAAGCGAGCTAATAAAAACGTTTTAAAAAGATACAAAAATACAGTATTTTTTTTTTTTTATTTGAGAGATATGCCTTGCGACTTGGAAGGAATTACTGCTGTCACACTCTCCTGAAACCACTAAAAGACATTTATTTAATTGAAAACATAAAATATCATAAAAAAACTGACATGCTAATCTGCAAATATTAATTTTATTTTAGTTATTTTATAAAAAACCTAAACATCTTACACACAATTTTTACTTTCTCCCCCTATACCATAGTATATGGAGAAAGTATTGTTTTCGTCAAAATTTTCGAGTTTGAGTTTTGAGTGGATATATTCGTTTTGGGTCCCCCTGGACCCAAAAAAGTGGTTTTCGAAGTGATGTCTGTGTGTGTGTGTGTGTGTGTGTCTGTGTGTCTGTGTGTCTGTGTGTCTGTGTGTCTGGATGTGTACAGAGCTAGAGACTACACCTGTGGTCCGATTTCGATGAAATTTGGTATGTAGGTTCTAATCCATGGTATCTCCAGGCGTTTTTTTCATTTTTTTGAAATTTTGATTTTTAATGGGGATTTTCCCATAAAACCCCATAAAAAACCGGAAAAATCAGATTTTCTCAAAAATGGCCCGAACGATTTTGATTAAAATTTAGTATGTTGTAGCCCTTTAAATTCTGAACAAAATGGTACAAATCCCATTTCTGTAAAAATTACGGTTCAAAAGTTATGGTAAATTATGTTATTTTCCCATAAAAACCACATAAAATAACGAAAAATAGGATTTTAGACAAAAATCCAGTTTTGATTTAACATAGTAGGTTATGGTCCTTACAATTTTGATAGTTTTTTTTTTATTTTTTAGAAATTTTGATTTTAAATGGGGATTTTCCCATAAAACCCCATAAAATAACGGAAAAATAGAATTTTCCCAAAAATGGCCCGAACGATTTTGATAAAAATTTAGTATGTTATAGTCCTTTATATTCTAATCAAAATGGTACAAATCCCTTTTCTGTAAAAATTACGGTTCAAAAGTTATTGTAAATTATGTTATTTCCCCATAAAAACCCCATAAAATAACGGAAAATCGGATTTCCCAAAATTGGCTCGAACATCTTTGATAAAAATTTAGTATGTTATAGTCCTTTAAATTCTGATCAAAATTGTACAAATCCCATTTCCGTATATTTACTCTCACCGTTTACACATGATAAAGGTTGTTGACAAACTTATGGGAGAAAGTATGTGTCAGAATGCTGATACCGTTTATTTATTACAAAATAGTAACAGACCTGCTAATTTTTGTTAATTAAGAGAACTGGTAGGTATTCAGTAATGTTTGTAATTAACAGCCCAATATTTAATCTTACCAATACGGTACCTATAATGGGCTTGATTTATTTAGGTAAAATTTGAAAATTAATAAAATAGTCGGTTAACCACTGACTATTCAGGGTGAAAATGGCAATATATTTGAAATAAAAACAATGTTTAGTAGTGCACTTATGGCAATTTTTTCTAAGCAAATATATTTTGAAAAAATCTCATTTTGTCCGTTATTGCCTACCTGAGAGGGTATGTAAACCTAAATTGGTGCTATTTTTGTCACTAATACTTAGTAGTTTAACACATACAATTTTTTAACACTAACTTCGTTCCACCCTGTATATAACTTTTAATTGACTGACTTTTAGGGACAAGAATGAAAAATATCTGTCCGACATGAAAATAAGAGAAATCGAACATACAAAAACTCTTCCTGGCAATTCCAAATATATGCATCAAATTTTCAAAGAAAAATATTGGAATCAAGGTTCAAGGTAAGCTATTTATGTTACAGTAGAGGCTATATAATCCGGTACGTTCTGGTTCTAGACTTTGGCGGTGTCGGATTGTTGAGAATGCCAGATTACTAAAACAGCCGCTACTATGAGACTTACTGAAAATACTACTAAATATATTGAGTCAAAAGGAAAAAGTTGGCTTGCCGGCCAGCTATTTTCCCAGTTTTATTGTGCTTTCTATAATTTTAGTATATTTAAAATGGTAAAATTAAAGCCCCCAAACCGATGTTTGTGGAACACTTAAAATTTCCATTAAAGAAATTACAATTACGGTTTGTTCACTCGGTGCTTGTAAGCTCACGGGGACACTCTAGGGGAACGTAACTTTCCGCAGTGTGAGGGTAACGTCTGGGCGCACTCCATTAGCCAATCCCTGTCTCTGAGCCCGAAAGGTATGGTTATCTAGAGTGTGGGGGGTTCTCCCTGGAACTCAATTGAGTTAAGGGTGTCCGCCACCTTTGGTGGATAGGTTCATCCGGGTGGGTCCCACTTCTAAACCTGTCTCCTTTTGGGAAACCCTGATGGCCTGGCAGTGATGTTGGGCTAGATGGGCAAACGAAGTAGATCGGGTGTTGGGATCAAGCCCGCCAGGGGTATCTGGGGATCTATCGCCCTGGTTATCTCTGGTTTCCCAGCAATGGGATGGCCTCGATCGGGTTAGTGGTGCAAATAGGGGGTTGGTCCCCTTCCTCCTGGCTTTGATGGCGGGTCTTGGCCTGTCAGGGATTGGATAGGTCCCGAGTGTTGCTTGCACTAAATGTGTCAGGGCACTCCATTGCGATTCTTCAGGGTTTCGTACCAGGTGGATTCTAGGTGGAGTGACGCTTAAACAAGTAGCCGGTATCCCTGGTTAGGATTGAGGGGAAACCCTCTCTCCGAAGTGTTGCTTCGGCAGCCGGTGAGCCTGATGACCTTAAGTTATCCTCCCATGATGTGCCAAAAGTTGGTGCATGTGCTTCGGCCTACATCATGGGGCCCGGGTATGTTAAATTATAGGTACCGGGTTTGAAATCAGAGGGTTTTCTGGCTCTTACGATAAAACGAATCGAATCGGAACACTTAAAATGTTTAAAATATCATGTAAAAAGGTTGTTCTGACCTTTAGGCTGGACAGATGAAACTACCGGATTAGCAAGCTTTTACTGTACTGCTGTGATTTAACTAATATAAATAAAAAAATTAACAGGTAAAACACTTAAGTAGAAAAAATCCTTCTTATATTTTGGACGTCAACTTACCTCTTTGTTTGTTTTGAATTGCTTCCCTAAGGTTGAGCAAAGTTTGACCATGCGGCTCTGAGCTAATTATTGCACCATGTTAAGGATAATCAATCAGAAGCACATCAGGCCTGTCCCAAAACCTGTTACCATTATGTTTGACGTGGTTTGTGAGCATTTTTTCTGTTTTTGGGGGAAAATTTGTTTGCCTCTATTCACAATAATTTGGTATTTTTCACACATGTTTTGTCACTAGTTACGATCCAATCCAATTAAGAACCACCCATAATGGCTAAGATGCCTCCATTTGCTCGTTTTCGTGGTAGGCTAAAAGCATTTCAGCACCCATTGTGCACCAAATCTGTGGTAACCAAAGTAATTAAAGTGACAATTTTAATAAACATTCTTCACAAATCTTTTCATCAACTTAAGCAAGAAGTTCATCAATGATTCACCAGCATCCTCTCTTCTCTTTGTCATAAATCAAATTTAAATAATCAAATCACATGAAATTTCTTTTACGCCACACTACATTATTTTGACGAACTTCCTACGCAAGTATTTAGTCCAGAAAACAGCTGTTTGCAACCAGCTTATTCAAATGGGGTTTCATTGCGTACTACTGTGCTGCAATGAGTTTTACCGGACACCAATCAGCTGATTGTACTGTATTTAGTATTTAGGTGGCAATGAGTGGTTATAAACAAAAACATAACCTCTCAATAACTAGTGATTTTAGTCCTTTAGTTGGTGGAAATATATAAGGATTTGTACAGATTTAGTAGTATGGCGTAAACTATCGTACGTCACTCGTCCAAAATGTGTGTACCGGACTCGTATGGTAATCCCGTACTCGACTTCGTCTCGCACAGGAACGACCACACTCGTCCGGTAAACACTTATTTTCAGGACTAGTAACGTAATATACTATTACCAAAATGAAATGAATGAATGATCATTTTTGCCCAATCTTAAACTATAAAACTTATTCATAAAATGTCACATTTGTTTTAATTTGTATAAATCTAAATTATTATTTTGCTTGAAAATTGTGGAGTGATCCAGCTTTTTAGCCATCGAGTAAACTCTCCAAAAATAATAGTAATAAGTGAAAATATTTAACAATACATTATATTTATATTAAACAGGTGCAAAATATAGTTCAGACCAAGTATCTTGAGCCAAATAGTATTAATTAATAATTGGTGACATTTTGATGTGTAAGTTTATGTTTTTATTGTGTTCGAGGTTTAACCCTCCCAGTGTTACTTGACGAAAATTCGGCAAGCACCACACTTTGTATAGTGTTACTTGCCGATTTTTCGACAAGCAGACATCGTTTACGGCAAAGGCTCTATAACTGACTGAATCGGATTGAACTGGATCGAGTTAGGTATCGTTCTTTCCGTTACATTCTAAGCTGTCTCCAGATGTCTGTCTCTAAGCGCTATTCATTTTAGTTCTGAAAATATTGTAGCAGACAGCTGACGTGCGTGTATTTGTAAACAGCTAGGTTCCCCCGGACCGATGACTGATGTGTTTTATTACGTTTATCATTGTTTTAGTGTTAAAAATCAAAAGTAGTGATATACGTGGTGCATTATAAGAAGATTTAAGTGGTTTTGAAGTGCTGGTTGATGATCCTGAAGAAGTAGGTAGTGATATTGATGTAAATTATCAGCCAGATTCCTAGCTATGGTTAGGCTATGCATTCTTAGCTAAACGCTATGTACTGAAATCAGTTTTTTGCCCATAACTTATTTATTTGCAAATATACTTCCTTATATTATTATATATTTGTAATCCTCATAAAATTTAGAACAAAGTGGCTATTTTCAAATATTTATAGGCCTATAATTTATACAATTTCATTAGGCGCAAACTTATTTTTTTTTTTGAAAATTTTCGAAGTTATATTTTTTTTACCTAAAAAATTTTTTTTTTTTTGAAAAAATGTTCCTTATGTTTTATATATAATATTGAAGCCCATGATTTTCCAAACAAAATGGTATATAGAACATTAGAATTAACATTGTTTTAAGCTTCTCAGATCCGTTTTAATAAAACCTTGCAAATGCGCCAAAAATAGGTGGACATTAAGGCCTAAACTATGGACACTTGGAGGGTTAACATAATTTATATTTTCTACTGTGCAACCTATGATCTCTAACAATTGAGTATCGTGAACAATTGAGTATAAGAGAACTGTCTCTCTTATTATACCTACTATTTCTTGGAATTGATGTAAATATAAAAACTACTTTCACCATCCAGAGTTACTCTAGTATAAAAATTGAAAAAAAGTGTTTGATACCCAGGAGACTTTTTAAAAACATTACTATTGATCAGTGGCGGCACCTCCATAATGGCAGGTGGGGCCAAGCCCCACCAATAATTCTAAAAAAGGGAAAAATAGTTTATTAAAATAAAATAAAACACTAAATTAACTTTAACAGTGTGCGAGTCAGTGAACCTGAAGGCATTATAGATGCGCACTGAGTAACGAGCGGGCAGGTCTGATCTCAACTATCCCTTGGTGATACCATTGCGTAAATGCAGGTTCATGTGACACAAAGGTTCCTGTACCCAAACGGCCAATACGAGAGTAATGTCACAATAGCGTCTCTAGGGCTACGCTCGGCGGGGATAGCCAATAGGAGAACACTGTCTCTAGACTCACTCACTCAGTCCAGCGGAGCAAGTCATATATCATGGTTCCCGGCGGCCAGTGTCGTCAGTTCATTTCAGTGTTCAGTGCTGTCACTGTCATTCAGTCTGATTCACGCGTAGTGCAGCCGTGATAACGACTTCTGCTGTTCCGTGTATGTTGTGTTAGTCTCTAGTGTAGTAGTATTACGATATATGACTTTTTTAATAAGTACCACTATTATTTTGAAGAAAAGCTAATTTTAATAATGTAGACAGTTCTCCGGTAAGCACGGCATCCAGCATTAGCCCATCCAATTATATTAACCACGCACAGCCACTGCTATTGATGTCACCAGCCACTATTACTCTTGGGTATTTTTTGAAAATAATATCAAGTAGCCTACACCATTTAATGATTCAAACAAAATCAAACATCTCAAATTGAATACCTGGTTTTCTATATATATTATATACTCTAACTAATTAAAAAAAACACACCTGTAGGCCTATATATTAGCGTTGACTTAAACAGCATTCTAAGTATATATCTACCAATAGATCCTCAACTGCAGGTATCATTATCTATTACTTTTTATGGCCAGACTATTCCAAGGCAAGAACTGTGACCTCTCCAAAATATGATTTTCTACAATAATAGTTTTATATTTTTAGATTTGCAATAGTGCCATGTTGGATTTCATTTGGATTTAATTTGTGTTTGCTTATGACAACAAGGACAGATTTGATTTCTTGTCAAATAATTTCTAATGATTAAGTTCAACATGAGAAGTGCTGAATAACAGTGAAGAATTTTAATTTTATGTGAACTTATAACTTAGTGTTCAGTAAAGAGAAGGAATTGTTATTCTTGCCGGCTAAGTTTTCTGGTAACAAGATTATTCCAACTTGTTCCTAAACTATCCATACTAACCTACAGGCCATCATCACAGTTGTCAATGAGCAGCAGTAGTGGAAGTTGTAGTGGAAGTATGAACAGTATAGACACAACTTCACCTGAAGTCAACAAACAGCACAAGCCTTCTGTCAATAAGAAGCCGACAGAAGGTGTGTTGGTCAAGTCCAAACTGCGCTCCATTGCTGCCTCCAGACCACATCTCAAGATATTCCCAGCTTCTTCAGACCCTGGAGAAGTACCGGTAATTGACCTTATTGATGATAATGGTGAGTAACAACAAAAAATGTGTTTACATTTTCCTACTCAGTTTAAACAAATACACATTCTCTATTGAAGCAAAGAAAAAGTTGGTTTATATTAGAAATGGGTGGATCCAAGAAAATGTTGGTACCGGATCCGGGTCTTAAAAAATTAGGATCCGAAGATCCGGATTTAAATCCAGACACACACTGTCATAAGGGAGGGTTAAAAAAGGTAATTAACAGAATGCCAATTTAAATCATACTGTTTAAAATTAAATTGGTAATGTTTAAAGGTTAACATTTCTTATATATAGAGAAATCTCCTGTTGAGCCCATAATCCCTAATTTTTTGGGGACACTAAAACTTTTCAAAATCTTAAAATGAAACTATGTGCTAAGTTTGCACGACCACCAAAAGGGTGTCTGTGTATATTTTACTATAGTTCTATCTTGAGTATGCTATATCGTGGTTTGTGCATGCAGCATCCAATTTATTTATGCCTGGATCACCTCTTGTTAATCTTTTAAATTCGTTCCAGGTCCACAGTACTGATAGCCGGGTCGGTGAAGTTCTACAGATAAAATACCCTTTGTCTGTGTACAAGAAGACTATACTGTATTCTAACATATTAGATGGGGGAGTCTTGACTTTTTATTCACCCTGTATGTTCACAGAACATCTTTTACACAGATACAGGGTATTTTACCTGTAGAATTTCACATACCCGGCTATCAGTACTGTGGACCTGGAACGAATTTAAGGAATCACAGTAAGCAAAAATAATACAACCCAAAACTTGTCTTTTGCTAGAAAAGAAACCCCCTACCTATATAACCAGTGCACATTGGTGATAATTTCATCAATGTAAATAAGACCTCAAAAACATATATAGGCCCCTACATAACCGTTTTTTTTACCAGGGGCAATTTACCGAGTAGGCACGTGCCTAGGGCACGAGGCAATTGGCTTTTATGGGGTGCACCAAAAAGTTTATAAGGAAAATAAATAAATGGTGGTTGTATTTGCATGCGATCTCGGTTAACTTCTGATAATCCCTCGCGGCCATGTAGACATCGTAATCGTCTCCCGCAATTGCAGCAAATTCTACAGTAGAGTCCCGTTAGTCCGAAATGGTTGGGACCGGGCCCATTTCGGATTACCGAATATTTCGGATTAAACGTTTTTTTTATTTTTTTTTTATTTTGAAAAAAAAAATTAAATTTTTTTTATTTTTGAAATTTTTTTCGTCTTAGGACGCAGGCACGAGCCCGGGATTGTTTTTCACATTACTTAAGGCTAGACCTAGTGGCTGCAGCATTATCACTTACAGTAATAACATCTATTTGTGATTTGGCGGACGAATATGAAAATTGTTACAGTAATAATAAAAATGGTGAAATATTTACTAAAATACTCTACAAGAAAATCTATCTCGCCCGGCCGCTACAGAATACGTTGACAAGGTACAGCTAACTGTGTTAAAAATTTAATAAAAAAAACTTAAAAAAACTAAAAAAACTTAAAAAATTTTAAAAAAACTTAAAAAATCAAAAAATTTAAAAAAATTTCAAAAAATTTTTTAAAATTTTAATCTTTTTATAAAAACAATTTAAAAAATATATTTTATTTGGTTTCGGATTAAGCGGACTTTCGGATTACCGAAGTTCGGATTATTGGGACTCCACTGTATTTTCCGCAGTCGTGTGGACATAAGTGTATGTATAGTAATCGCCTCCCGCGACTACGGCAAAATGGTAATCATCTCCCGCGGTCATAATGGAGATCATGCCACGAATGAGGCAAAATTCTTATCTTTTCCCGCGACCATGTGGACATTATCATCGTCATGCGCGATCCTGGCATAATTCTGATCATCCCTCGTGGATGTAATTAATTGATTGATTTGAATTCTTGATGTTTCCCGTCTTCCGTGATCGCGGCAATATTCTGATCATCCCTCGCGGCTCTGTAAGATATCATCATCGTCTTCTGCGATCGCGAAAAATTCTGATCATATAGACATATTACTTTCTCCCGCGGTCACAGAAACGTTACTGTTGTCATGCGCAATCGCAGTATATTGACAACTCCAGGTAGAAATACAAAATTTGCGCATAATTCCCGGTTATAAAACTCATGCATGATTGCTGGATTTCCCGGTTGATGGACACCCTCTTATATATATTGAAAAGGGGTGCTACTATTAGTTTTGCCTTGGGTGCGGACAGGGTCAAAAACGGGTCTGCTTTTTACCTGTTCCACAGTTCATTCTATCAGGTTTATTGGCGCCCCCCCCAAACACACAATGAATGATGTGTAGGAGAAATGAGTGATTAGGGTAGTGGTAGTCGAGGGTAGGGGAGGGGCGACACATCAACATGTGCATATTTGAGGTCCTTGTCTCTGTGTACAGAGTGACACTGCGACATTGCAATATTGATTTATATTAAGATAATTAAGTTGGGATAGGGTTTTATTATTACTTAGACTATTATTACCAAACTAAAAGTAGGCTAGTATACAAGCAAATCCAGCTACTCCATTTTTATAAAATATATTTAATTTGGGAAAATGTTGCAAATACATAAAGTGATTGGTGTGAAATAATATGTATTTGTTCACTAAATGCATACAACATATTTTTTTTAAATTCAGTTACACATAATTTTCCTAAACACGCATGTACATCTAACTTAATTTTTTCAAATTTGTTGTATTACTTTTGCCGTGGCACCCGCGCACCCTCCAAGGTGCCACTTCCACAGCGCCCCCCTGGCCGCAGTGCCCGGGGCGGTCTCCCCACCTAGGTGACGGCCGTGCATTCCATTAACATTAATTTACATAATAACCAGGTTTAGTTATAACTGTTGGAAGCGTTAGAACAGGGTCTCCCATAACTTGTCTTAAGTGGTATTTCATGCTTTTCACAGTGCTCTCCCACAAACCGCCATGGTGAAGAGCAGCAGAGACTGCTTTCAAAGGATACTTCTGATTTTCCCTGAGCTAGGATCAGTCCCATTAATGTTCCCATGTAAAAAAAGGGCCAAGCAGAGAGAAAACTTAACTGTTTTGAGTTCTTATTGGAAATATCTACTTAAAATTGACCACATTTTATAAAAAATAATAAACACTATAACTTTTTTTTTATCATACATTACTCAAACCTCATAATTTTGTGTAGGTAAATAAACGTTTCTCATTATTTTGGGGATAAAGGATTTGTTTTAATTGTGAATTAACTATTCCTTGTTAAGATTGTATTGTTTTTTTTTTTTTTTTTTACACTGCCCAAATTACAAGTACTGTGAGACAAATAAACGACAAATCAAGCTAATATTTTGGTATCCATGTATTCATTACTTTATTGCCAATCATTGATACAAGTCGTTTTTAGTGTTTTTGCAAATTTATTGTGAATAAGACTCAACATTGTGTTTTGTACATTAAAAGTAAATCATTGGTTTAATGCCAAGAAAGTGTTAAAATAAAGTTTCAAGATGTAATTTCAGTACCTAAAAAAAAACTATTCATAAATCTGTCAAGAATAAAGGAAAACTAGATCTCTAGAAAACAAAATTTTTTTACGAAACCAATACTTTCTCCATATACTATCTAGGCCTATAGGGAAAGAAAGTAAAAATGTAGAACTACAATACACTATCTGTGGCATTTGTGACACCACGTTATATACACTAACAAACAATACACTAACACCATGTTGTGTCTTATTAACAATACATTCTCAATAACACAAAACCTCACATAAACGTACGCAAAAATGCATATTAGCTGATTGGCAATGAAGTCAAGAAAACCTGGATAACATCATCTGAGCTTGTTTTGTTGTTGAGAAGTCTCACTGTAGTTGTAATTTTTTGGGTTGTGTTTAGAAAAAAAAACACCCTGTATAACATTAGAATATATGTAATAACCTTAAATTGTAAATTTTGTGCCAATGTTCGACTGTGAAACATATCAGGCTTCAGTTTTAAGATATGACTTTTGGCATTTAAATGGTTTAACTAATGTAGTTTGAAAATCTTTATTTTACAGACAATGAAGAGGAAACTATTGTCCTTGAATCAGAAGAAGAAGAAGTTATTTGGCTTCCCCCGACAAAAGAGCAGTCTGAAAATTCAGATGATGATATCGAAATACTATCATCAAACTTTAAGCCAAAGAGACCTATGTTAATATTTCCTAAACCAAAAAGGAATCCTCAGCGGCGGTCTCTTCTACAAAAACGCACAAGTTTATTGAACGAAGAAACTTCAGCGACTACTTCTAGTTCTCCTTGTGAGGCACAAAGTCCAGCCCCTGTGGCCTTGGTCCTGTCACCGGCCGTTATGGAGCAACATCGACTGGCAAATGAAACAGAATTTGTTGCAGTTGACGAGTGTGATTACGAACCGTTGTTTAGTGAGTTCAAAAGTGGCTGTAGCAGAACAGATCCTGTCCCTGAGAAGTATCTTTCCAATCGTAGACTGGCCAGCAAACAGTTTATTCCGATCCAACAAACTTCCCTTTCCAAACCAATCAGCCTAATACCTTCACTACAACTCAGCAACACAAGTACTGCCCCTAAACCAGTTCCAATACAGCCTAAACCGATTCCAATAAAGAAATTGGCTACCCTACTTTCTCCTGGCGGTTTAACAAGTTTAAAACCTAGGGGAGAAGTTCTAGTGACACAACGAGGAACACGCATTCAACTCTCAAAGATGCCCAAACCCGTACCTCATGTGACTCCGTTAAGTGCAACACCGGTAACAATAACTGGAACGAGTAGTGTGAGTGCCTGTGAAACAGCATCCTCAGATACAACAGAGTTAATAACTCTGCACCACCCTTCTCTCGAGGGAGTGAGTCAAACAAGAGCTGCCAGGTTTGAAAACTTGAACAGTGTACAGTTGGTTATGCCCTCCCCATTGTTAAAATGTGGCCCAAAAATGTGGAAACCTAAAGATGACGGTATCCCGCCCCAAGGGATCAAAGTTATGTACCCTAAAAGAAAGTAAAATATTTGTTGTTACCTACAATGAATCCGATAGGGATTTTACTACGGGCTGTGATTTTAGTTTATGTTCCTTAAGGATAATATAGGCCTTTAATTCATACTTCAGTGTAAAAGTATTTCAAGCAGCCTTTTGCTCAATTGTGTTTTGGGTACTAATCTTATATGTGTCAAGCATATGTTATTTAAGACTTTATGTGAAGAATCCATAGTTTTTAAGTATAGGAACAAGCAAAAAACTTGTTTCTCACGATACAACTTCAAATGATTTTTTATGAATATGACATTTAAATTCATAACTAATGTGCTACAATTCTATAACGTTTTGATGATTTTGTAAGAATTCAAACTTGTGGTTCTTCTTCTTTATTTAAAACAATTAGGTAAACATAATATGTAACATTTGATATAGATAAAACTTTAGTTTGATAAAATTATCTCTTTTGAAGCTACTTTACTTTAGTTTTTAACAAAAGTGCCTTTTTTATGAACTTTGTGGTCATTGTATCAGATTGATATTACAAATTATTTAGTTAATTTATACCAAATACAGATTAAATAATTTTTCTTATGCCTTTGACAAATGATGATACTGGTATATTTGCGAACATGGGAAATTTTTTTAAAAATAATTCTACACCATACAATATTTCCATGTTTTCACTGTATTTAACAACTGTAATGCTTAATTTAATCTTTGACACATTTTTATATATACAGGGTGACCCGTGAGTATACTACGGTCAAACTTGAATAAATGGTTTCAGTTCAGAAAGATTGAATATTAGCTGAAATATTACGATTTTTAGTTAAATGTAAGGAGAATAAGGTGAAACCTGACTAACCCATGCTGCCATTTTGAGTTGGGCCAAGTTCATTTTTACTTTCTCTCCTATACAGTATAATTGAGAGAAAGTATTGTTTTCAAACAAAAGTTGAGTTTTAGGTCCCCTTGAGCCCAACACAGTGGTTTTCAAAGTGAATTCTATGTGTGTGTGGATGTGTACACAGATCACACCTATGATCCAAGAATCCACGGTATCTCCAGGCGTTTTATTTTTATTTTATTTTAATGGCAATTTTCCTATAAAATAAAATAAAAATTGGATTTTTTTATAAAACGCTCCAAACGATTTTGATTTAAAGTAGTATGTAATTCCAAAAACAACCCCATTGCTGTACAAATTACAGTTCAAAATACCAAGGAAATAATAAAAACATGTTTCATTGTATCTCTATTTTCTATGATAATAGTTGCTATGATAATTATGCTGAGTTTGCTCAATTTGATGGTTAATGTTTTTTTGTCCATATTATTGCAGAAAACCGCTGTGTGCTGTATCTTGCTGTTTGTGTATGTTACCAACCCATACAGTATTTATATTTATTTAACTTGAGAAAAAAAATATACAAAAAATTTGAAATTTTACTTATAAAAGGTAAAACTGGTTTAACATGAATAGGTCAATAATCATACATAGCATGGTCTAATTCGTATGAATTTCCACTTTCCACTAAAGGTAGTAAGTAAAGATTATGTTAAAATATTATTTATTCATCAAGTGTTTTGAGGTATATTAATTTTAGGATTACTTTATGGTTACTTTGTACTGTGTTTACAAAATAGTTTAGTGAGTTAAGCTCCTTGCTAATTTAATTTATTTTACTTTCATTTTGCACAGTACTGTTAGATACACAAAGAAATTAAGTTTTTGAACATCTCATCCCTGTGACTTTATTATGGAACGAGCATTTTATTATTTTTATCCACAGATAAGTTTAGTTTGATGTATGAAGAATGTACATATACCATTATATATTATACTTTTTTACACTTGTAAAACCTCTTTCTTTATTTATCAATTCCTCAACTGTTCAGTTAAACATATTTGATTTGGCTGCTCCAGTTGTTCCAGATTCGTTGCATCAGATTCTTATCTCTATTAGCTCTAGATCTGGCAAATACTGAAATCCTGTGGTGGCAGAGATTTTTTGTGCACTTGGTACTTGTAACTTACTTTATGCTGTAAAACATTTATTCCTGAATAAAAGTAAATACATATATACATTGTTTCAGTAATGAGTGTAGCATATCTGTCAATATTAATACACTACATGAAACTTTGTGAACAATAAGGCTTTTTTGTTTTAAGATTTAACCCCACTTATTATATACCAAAATGTTCGTCTAAATGTGTAGATTTGCAAACTGATGTTACATTTTAGAAAAAGTCCCTTGGGCTCTGCCCCAGTAACTTTTAAAGTTCCCACGTTATCCTTATGAAGAACATATTTGTTTACATTATGATCAGCTGGATCATTTAATTGCTGTTAATATTTTGGTTGCAATTTAAGGAAATGTTAGCTACAAAGATTTACTGACTTATTGAAATGAAATATTTACTATTTGAATTTGGGTTGACGTAAATATTACAATGGAAAAAAGCGAGAAGGCCTGGCCAATTCATATAATAAAAAGAAAACTGAATTAACACTGTGCTGCATTTATTGAGCAATCATTGAAAAGCTGATTTGCAAACCATGGAAACATAGGAAAGTCATAGAACACCTCCAAGTAGAAGAAATAGAAGTAATGGTTTTTTAACACTTTTAATCATTATTGCGGACAACCTAATGCGGCTATGAGTGGGAAATATTTGTAGAAAACACAAAAACACAATCAGCTTTTGAAAAATTATAACATATTTACAAGAATGTTTAGTATATCGATCTGTTATGTACATCGTGAGTATTTCCATAATCTTTGAGTCGACTTTTCTAAAGTCATCGTAAATCATTACTGTTATTCTTTTTAAAATAACACCTCTAATACTTCGCATTTGCTCGAATTCGATCAAAAGGTGGCTGGTCGGCGATCGCTTTGGGCCTCCCGGCTCAAGGGGGCCTCCAAAGACCAAAAAAATCAAGTGAACAACATTTTTTTTATTGTGAAAAATTATTTTGTTTTACAGTGACGTAGTCTTGCAAAAACAATTTTTAATAAACAATAACCTATTTTTTATCAAATTAAAGTTAGGTAGCCCCTAAGTACAGTGATAGTCACTCGGTACTAGAGGATGAGGATAGTCACTGATCTCACCACGCCGCACCGTTCGAATCAGCTCTGCGGTAGTGACGCAACAACACTGCGCCCTGTCTAGACTCAATCAGACAGATTTTTAGCGCTTGTACATAGTAGTTAGTTGTTGTTGAGATTAGTAGTTTTAGTTGTAGTAGTTAGTAGTGATGGAACAACTGATTGGAAAAAACAATAGTCAGTTGTTTTTAAAACCAGTCATTTTTTCAGTCAAATGAAAAACCGAGTGAATTCCACTATAACAACAACTGGTGGCATTCAATCGGCGCAGTGGTTTCAGTAGTTTCAGTCATTGCAAATACAGCTATCTATTGTGATTAATACTTGTTCTGAATGATCACTGGCCATGATCATTATGAGATCAAATATGAATTTAGGAGCTCCTTCCCATGTGAACGCAACATTATTTACTATGCTGTCATGACTTTGTATCAGGGTTTTGAAGGCATTAAATAAATCCCATCAGCTGAAATATTAACACAGTGAGCAACAGCCTATGCCTAGCTGGACTTTGTCCACTCCTATTCCCTACCCCCTGCCAGACAGGAAATTTGCATCCGGACATGTCACAATTACAACTATGAGCAAATCTGACCTTTTCTACAAGGCAACTCCATGCAGTGAGGATGTTTTAAGTAATACAGCAGTGACGTAGCCAGGGGGGGGGTCCTGGGGGTCTGGACACCCCCTTCCGGTCTTAAATATAATATTTTTTTGTTAAATTAAATGTAAAATTATATAATCATATATCATTGACGTTGGGGTTGATTATTTTCAATGCCAAGAGAGCTAAAAAAGACCGTTTTAGGGCCTATATTTTTAAAAATTTTCCCGGATCCCCCTTTTTACCTGGGGCCCCCGGTCGGTCGACCCCCCCTATTTTGAAATCCTGGCTACGTCACTGAATACAGTATAGCTTTAAGCCATTTTGAAGAGTTTGCAGTTAGAAGACCAGTGTCCAGCCTTGTTAGACCAGGCCCTGGTGGGAGTTGAGTATGCAAAATTATTCGGACGCACTTTCCCTTTTGATTGTTGTTAAGGACACTTTGGACAGTAAGAAAACGCATGTTGCCACGATCAACGTTGGTCGAATACCAATATGGCTGCCTTCCAAGAAGAAATATTCTTCAAAAGTCTATATTACACTTAACTTGCAATCTAGTTTTATAAAGTGATAAATTAGATTTTAATAAAGATTTTACTTTTAAAACAGATTAAATGTACGTTGAGGTGATTATATTTGAGTTTTTACTGACCAAATATGTCTGAAATCACGATTAAATGTTATTATACAATTTATAATACACAGTTTAACCATAATGTCATATAATATACAGGGTGTTTTTAAAAGAATGCCGGGATTTCAAACGGTTGTTGCTCGGGGACTATTCAAGATAATTAAAGGAATTAAACGTCAAATTGAAGGGAAAGAATAAAGTTTTTTCTCATTCTTTCATACAATTCCGGTCGCCGGAATTCTACCCCCGGATATTTACCCCCATGAAAAAACACCTACGTCATTTTGACGTCACGAGGTGCGGGGCCGATACACAGTCGAGAAACAGCCCGCGACTGGAAATCTACCCCCGGACATCTACCCCCGTACATCTACCCTCAGACATCTACCCCCGGACATCTACCCCTGGACATCTACCCCCGGAAATCTACCCCCGGTCATCTACCCCCGGAAATCTACCCCCGTGGTCAGCTACGCTACGTATCGGCCAAGATGCATTGTTGTAATTGATTTCATTAATTGGTTTATGTAAATAAACGGCTCTTCGGTTATTCATTAGCTTCTTATATCCAGTATAAAGCATGGGATATGTCGTTGTCATGTTTAAAATTATCTATCAATAAGCTATCAAAAAGGCTTCTGTCAATGGTGTTCATTCGTCTGTAAAATCATACTGCAGTGATGGTGGGGTTACATTGTGCAATCTTAGCCCCACTAATAAAGATGAAATAAAAAAGATAATCCTTTCTCTAAAGAACAAAATTTCAGTAGGCTGGGACGAAATCCCAATTAAATTGATCAAATCTGCTGCTGACATTATCTCCGAACCCTTATCTCTTATTATAAATCAGTGTTTAAAGAATGGTGTTTTTCCGGATCAACTGAAGTACTCCCAAATTTCTCCCGTTTTTAAGAAAGGTTCAAAATCAGATATTAATAACTACCGTCCAGTATCAGTATTAAGTAATTTTTCTAAAATATTTGAAAAAGTAATAAGCTATAGACTAGTTAATTATTTTGAAAGTAATAATTTATTTTACAATAAACAATTTGGTTTCCGAAAAAACTTAAGCACAGTTTCTGCTCTTACTCAGTTTGTTAATGAGATTGCAGAGGCCTTGGACAGGTCTCAGGCCACAGCAGGTGTTTTCTGTGACCTGTCTAAGGCTTTTGATTGTGTGGATCACTCACTCCTGTTGCTAAAACTTATTGATTATGGGATTGGGGGAAGTTGCTTTTCTTTAATACAATCTTACCTTTCTGAAAGAAAACAAAGAACTTTAATTTTAGAAGATAACAACAAACATTATTCACCATGGGAAATTATATCCACAGGTGTTCCCCAAGGCTCAGTATTGGGCCCACTTTTTTTTCTTATTTACATTAATGATCTTCCAAAAGCTATTAATAAAGAACTAATTCTTTTTGCCGATGACACTACTGCTTTGATCAAAAATAATAATACAGCTGAAATGTTTTCTTCTCTGCAAAGTGTGGTAAAGGACATGGAGCAATGGTTTTTAGAAAATGGGTTAAAACTTAATGTTGAAAAAACAAATATTATTAAATTTTCTACTAGACACAAAAATATGGAAAACTGTTCCTTTAATTTAGTTGAAGCTCATAAATTCTTAGGGGTTTACGTGGATGACGCAGTTAAATGGGATTCACATTTGAATTATTTACGTAACAAAATTAGGTCGATATCATCTTTATTCATACATTTAAGGGACTGTGTTTCTATTGAGACACTTAAAGTAGTTTATCATGCTTATGTGGAGTCAGTGTTAAGATATGGCATAATTTTATGGGGCCAAGCTACTGGTATTAAAACTTTATTCAGGTTACAAAAACGTATTATTCGTATTATTACCAACTCTCATTCACGCAGTTCTTGTAAGAAACATTTTCAAAATTTAAGAATTCATACATTAACGGGGTTGTATATTCTAGAATTATTAAATTACATACATTCAGTTAAAAATGAGCTACCAGAAACAATACATTTTAATCACAGGTATGAAACCCGAAATGAAAATATATTTAGACTCCCCAGACACCGTTTGACCCTATATGAAAAATCTCCATTGTACGCTGGGCTGAGATTGTACAATGTGCTTCCGCCATGCTATAAGTCATTAAGCAAAACCAAATTTAAAGATACAATAGATAATTTTCTTATTGACAAGGCTTTTTACTTAATTGAAGATTTTTACAGAACTACAATTTAGAATTTTTTTTTTTTTTTAGTGTTTAATTTTAAGTTAAAAGTTTTAATGTTAAATATTTTATGTATGAATTTAATTTTGACAATGCACCTATTCTAAATGTTATGACATGTATGGAATGTTTTGTGCAAATAAAGTCTATGTCTATGTCTATGTCTATGTCTGTAACAGTCCATTTTCACCCGACCTACTTCGTCGATTTTTACGATTGAGTTGTCATTTTAAAGCTTAAGACCCATTGTAGCACATTCTTATATTCAGAGAATGTATAACGCTTAATATATATATATATATATATATATATATATATATCCTTGCATTTGCCCGTCCCGATAGACTACAGATCTGTGCGTGGAACGTATCCAGCAAATCAAGGGGTGAGCCGGTACAGTGCGAAGGTGAACTGTACTGATAAGTTTTTGTGGCAGTGACCAGGATCCGAACCCACGACATCACTGCCTTGGGCTCGAAGTCTGTGACGCTACCAACTGAGCCACCGACTCACCTTTAATAAGTCCTAACGTAATTGGGAAATTCTGCCTTAATGCAAAACTTGTCAACTTATGTCCATAAATAAGTGTTCAAAATATCCATTCATAAGAATAACATAGAGGAAGTGAATATGCAGGTTTCCTGCCAATAAAATGTTGAATGAAGCTTTTTAAGGTAGTATACAGAATATCTTATCTAGATAAAGTAACATGCCAAGCAGTAACATGCGCAATACCAGTAACACGCCATCTTTGCACAACATAAACCCCCTCAACAAGAAGAAAAATCGACTGAGGATTTGTCTTACACATCTCAATCGGTGACTAAAGTCACATGTACACACAAATCTGACTCTGAAGCCTTACTCTCTTCTAATGACTTTCCAGTCTTAACTAAAAGGGAAAATGGAGGGTTCCCTGTCGGAGCAATCCTGCGCAAGCCTGAGGAAACTGTTGAAGAGTTTTTTTAATAGTCACTTTGAATTCTATTCTAGTCTTATGAAGCTAAGAACTCCGTGTAATACTGAAGATGTCATACCCAAGGAAGTCTCTCCCGAAAACTCAGAAACTGTACCTGGAAATGAAAATATGGGTTGTTTAAATCCTCAACCAAATCAGATTTCAAGCTCACCACAATCAGAAGAACCTGAAGCTCATGTTTTTTTAGACCAAGTAAAGAAACACAATTGGAAGATTCAACATCGAAGAATCTTTGTAAATCGTTTAATGAAAAAACTAAAAGCATAAAAATCCTTCATCAAAACACAGATAGAATCAAGAACAAAATTGAACGTTTAAACCATATTCTTCAGTCCATAAATCCTGACTTCTTGGTAAGAACAGAGCATGGCCAGTCCAAAGAAGAAATAAAAAACACAAGACTCATAAATTTTGAACTGATTGCAGCATTTGGAAGAGATTTTACCATCAAAGGTGGTGTTGCAATATACAAGAACATCAATCTTCAAAACGAAACTCATAGTCTGGAGATAGAAGAAAACAGCATTCCTCTCATTTGTGAGGTAGCTGCTGTAAAAATAAATTTAAGTAACAAGAGAAGTCTTAACTTGATTGGAGTGTATCGACCACCTTCAAGCTGTGTGAATAACATGAGACAAGCACTTTCTGTCCTCGAAGAGATATTTCGCTCGACTGCTACAAGTGATGCATCTTTCCTCATGATGGGGGACATTAACATCGATAATTTGGAGCCCTCAACAAGAAAGACCAGGTTTGATGAACTTCTCGCCTCCTTCGATATAAGAAGAGTACCTCTACCTGCAACAAGGATAGCTATCTCTGGCAACAACAGATCAGCAACCTCTATCGATGCTGTTTGCACAAACCTTAACCCTGAGGAAACTGACGTCCTAATTATATGCTGGAATTTCTGACCACACTGCTCAGCTGTGCAGTCTTAAACTGCCTGTGAACAGGGCTAATTCAATCAACTCAACTAGAAGACATCTAAACATCAATAACCTTCTTCAGCTGAAGCAAATCTTATCTCTTCAGTCATGGGAAGACATACTGAGTAGTGATGATGTTAATGAAGCCTACAACCGGTTTATTAAAACAACTATTCTAGCACTTGATTCAGCCTGTCCGCGGAAGAGGACGAGAAGACCTAGAAGTTCACGGAAGATTGTCTACGATGCAGAGACCATGGAGATGAAGAGGGAGTATCTGGCGGCCTATGACATTTTCCTGTTGACCAATGATTTGGCAGAAAAACAAAGAGCAAGCTACTTCAAAAGATTATATGATCTGAGGCTGAAAGAAATTCGTCGTGTTCATAGCACCACACACATAATAACCGCTGACAACAAATCCAAAGCAGTTTGGGATATCATCAACAGTGAACGGAAGTTGAAGAAATCATCAACTACATCATGTGTCCCTTTATCAGTGGATGGAGTTGATGTGAATGACCCGTCACAAGTAGCTGATTATTTTAATACATATTTTACAACAATTGCTGATGAAACGCTGAAGCTAAATCCACCAATAACTCTTGTAACAGCACATATTGATCAACATAGGAATGTCATTGAGCTTAAAAAGCTAGCTGTTGTAACAGAACCTGAAATAAGAAAGATCATCTACTCACTCAAAACAAAAACATCTTCAGGTCTTGATGATATATCGACAAAGGCTGTCAAGTTTTGTTCAGAAGAACTCATCAAGCCTCTTCTTCATATCACCAACCTATCGCTTTGCCATGGTGTGTTTCCACAAAAAATGAAAGTCGCTAAGGTCATGCCATTACATAAGAGAGGAAAAAAAGATGACATGAGAAACTACAGACCTATCTCATTGCTCCCCACCTTTTCAAAGATTATTGAAAAGGTGGTTTTGGCACAGCTTCTTCAACATCTTGAAGTCAACAAGCTTCTCACAGAGAACCAACATGGTTTTGTGAAGGGGAGGTCAACTATTACAGCTTTAGTTGATTTTGTGGAAACATTAACGGATCGAATTGAAGAAGGCAGCAATGTAACAGCTATCTTTCTGGATCTAAGCAAAGCATTTGATTGCTTAGTTCATGATCTTGTTTTGTCTAAACTCTCATCACTCGGAATACAGGATGTTGCTCTTCAATGGTTTTCCAGCTATTTAAAAGATAGATTCCAAATTGTAGAAATCCAGCACATTACCAATAAGGAAATTTCTCGCACTAGATCTAGCCAGCAACCTGTTTCAAGAGGTGTTCCCCAAGGCTCGGTGCTTGGTCCTGTGATTTTTATCCTTTTTACAAACGACCTACCAATGCAAATCACACCTTACGGACTATCTTTTATGTACGCAGATGACACCGTAATTCTTTCTGCTGATAAATCGCTTGATAGTTTGGAAGTGAATTCTTTTATAGCCCTAAACTGTGCCCTTGAATACTGTCATAATAATGACCTTGTTTTCAACGAAGCCAAAACTAAACAGCTAATGTTTGGAAGTCAAAGAGAGGACATTGTGGGGTTGCCCAATATTCATAAGCACAATTCTACATCACATCTTGGTGTAGTGATTGACGAAGGTCTTACTTGGCGAGAACATGTGGACTCACTCTGTCAAAGACTAAACAGCGCCATCTTTGCTATCAGAAGGATTGTAGCAATAGGTACCCCAGAGGCTGTGACGGTTGCATACCATGCGCTATTCGAGAGCAGTATGACATATGGAATTGTTCTTTGGGGTGGCTCTTCAGTCAGCAATCTCGAAAGGGTATTAATTCTACAAAAGGAAGCTCTTCGAACCATGAATGGACTACAAATAAGAGATAGCTGCAGAAGAGTTTTTTCGGAGAGCAAAATCTTGACAGTGGTGTCGATGTTTGTTTATGAAACCGTACTGCTGTCAATGAGGAAAGGTCTACCTAAAAATTCCGATGTTCATAGACACAACACAAGGTTTGCTAAGAACTATAACCTACCCTATCACCGCAAACAACTTTTTGAAAGAAAACCCTCATACCTAGGAGCGAAGCTTTATAACGCACTGCCGGAGGAGCTCAAGAATTACTCCAAAGCTGAAAAAATGAAGCCCCATTTGAAAACTTGGTTGTCTTCTCGGCCTTTTTACACCGTTGAAGAATTTTTAAATTGGAAAGACTTTGATTTGAATGACTTTTAACTGTTACAATAATTGCTTTGTTATTGTACTGAAATCTATTTGTTTAATTGTTGACGCCATTTCAAATCTTGATGATTTTGTAATAAAGTTGTTCTCTCTCTCTCTCTCTCTCTCTCTCTCATGCCGAGTTTAATTCAGATGTGTCAAGAAATAACTATATTTATGACATTTTATTGATTACCAATAGGACGAATAAAATTGGTACACCGTAAAGTGTTTACCTCTCAATACCTCAGTAACGAACGATCATAGAGCAATAAATCAAACTACTTATTTTTTTGGAGCTAAATCAGAAGCTGCAATGACAAAAAAATATAAAAAAATAACTATATTACAAATATTTAAAGACCTATATAAAAATATAAAACACACCCCCTCTTCTAATAGTCCGATATGGCTGGTTTTGGTTTCTGATTTGGTAGATTTTCCCAATGACCTCCTTGAAAGAAACAGATAGTCTTGAGAGGAAACGTCACTCTTTATCATTTCGCTAACTATTTGAAGGGTTGAAACTATTTGAACATCTGCGCTGCCTCTCGGGAAAAGGCCTCCTTTATGACGTCTTCCACCATATCGCGTACAAGTTTTAATTATGTTCCATACTGATCATTTTCTCTTTATCATTAGGTAGAACCCCCAGCTGTCATTCTGAAGGATTCTTATTTGAATGTTTGAGAATATTCTCTGAAGAAATGTGATTAAAATTAATTAGTCCATTTAGTAATGAGTGGAGCGAAGCGAAGCTCTTTGGGAACGACTTCAATGTAAACTTTCGAACTCATTAACACAATAACGGCGGAACATATTTTAGCCAAACTTACTTAAGTCAAATGTTTGGAAGGTTTAGACGAAACAAACTTAAATTTATAATAGTGCCTATACAGGGTGAATTTTAAATGAGTTCCCCCCCTACTTTTTTCTACATTTCTAAAGATATCATCTCCGGACCACGTCAGATCATTGTTGAGTAGTAAGAACTTCATTTTGACTGGGTATACATTTTTGGCCGCCATCTTGGATCCGCCATATTGGATACAAAAATTTTTTTTCAAATGTAAAGGTAGGGTTGTGACCCTTTATTTCAAACTAGAATTTTACGCTGATTACAATGCCGCAATTAGATTTTAAAAATCTTGATCCGTTCTAAAGTTATGAGGACTTTTTATAACTTTATTTTTAGCGCATTTTAACATTGTGCATTTACAAACTAAGACCATAATCTCAAAATAGTGCTAGATAAAGATAAGTATACACCACCATTCATTGTCGACATAATTTCACTTGGTTATGACGGATGTAGTTTTTTCAGCCGCCATCTTGGATCCGCCATTTTGAAATGAGATCAATTAATTTAAATATGAAGGTGGTGTTGTGACCCATCATTTTGAGCTACTTTTTTATGCTGAACTCAATGCCGCAATCCGTTTTTCATTTGCATCTTTGGTTTTTGAAATATTGAAATTTTAAATAAGAGTATTTTAATATTTCATCAAGACAGCTTGATAACAAAAAACGGATTGCGGCATTGAGTCCAGTATAAAAAAGTAGTTCAAAATGATAGGTCGCAACACCACCTTCATATTTAAATTAATTGATCTCATTTCAAAATGGCGGATCCAAGATGGCGGCTGAAAAAACTACATCCGTCATAACCAAGTGAAATTATGTCGACGATGAATGGTGGTGTATCCTTATCTTTATCTAGCACTATTTTGAGATTATGGTCTTAGTTTGTAAATGCACAATGTTAAAATGCGCTAAAAATAAAGTTATAAAAAGTCCTCATAACTTTAGAACGGATCAAGATTTTTAAAATCTAATTGCGGCATTGTAATTAGCGTAAAATTCTAGTTTGAAATAAAGGGTCTCAACCCTACCTTTACATTTGAAAAAAAATTTTTGTATCCAATATGGCGGATCCAAGATGGCGGCCAAAAATGTATACCCAGTCAAAATGAAGTTCTTACTACTCAACAATGATCTGACGTGGTCCGGAGATGATATCTTTAGAAATGTAGAAAAAAGTAGGGGGGGAACTCATTTAAAATTCACCCTGTATAATTAAAAGTAACCCTAAGTTTTTTTTTTATTTTAACATTGTACTTATGGGTTGCCCTGGTGCTTACATAATAACGACGTAAATGTAAACAAAACAGAGAATCAAAGCACATGTTAAAATCAAGCCACGACCTAAACACAGTACAAAGAGAAAAAAATTCGAATGATGACTACTAGTCATCGATCTCTATTACTACAGAGATCGATGTCACTAGTTAACATTTAAGTCGCAATTTGGAAACGACCACTGATCGAATAGGTACAGTATTTTACATATTTGATTTACGTAGCTAAATAAGGTTATAACAAATAACATTTATCTTATGTTATTGGGAATAAAACAACTACAAGATTCTGCAGTTTTAAAAAACTAGGTATTCTGAAATCACTATATTTTTTCTAAATAAATATGCTATTATGAATATGCTTTCTTATTATTATTTACTTTTAAATATTTTTGATGATATCATCGTTTTGGTGACACACCTGTTGTGTTGTTTGTTGTGTTGGCAACGACTTGGGGTATATTATTGCCCAAGAAGAGTAAAGTATTTTTTGAGTTTTCGTTTTACAAAAAAAATTGTTTTTCGCATAATAAGCTAATGAATAACCGAAGAGCCGTTAATTTACATAAACCAATTAATGAAATCAATTACAACAATGCATCTTGGCCGATACGTAGCGTAGCTGACCACGGGGGTAGATTTCCGGGGGTAGATGTCCGGGGGTAGATTTCCAGTCGCGGGCTGTTTCTCGATCGTGTATAGGCCCCGCCCCTCGTGACGTCAAAATGACGTAGGCCTTTTTTTCATGGGGGTAAATATCCGGGGGTAGAAATCCGCTACCCCTACAATTCAGATTGATTTAATAAAATTAAGATTTTCATAAATCTTATTTGAGCGTAAAACTGACAAAGTCCTTACGCTTAGGGCGATCTGATGTCTTAACTGAATCTTTTTCAGCACAAAAACTCTATCTTTTATAGATAACATCATAAAGTGACCAATTTAGGTTTGTTAAACTGAAGACTTCGTCGGGAAATCGATTCTTTCGGGCTTCTGATGCAGAATTGTCGGATTTCTTTGACTATGTCTTGACTGGAGGCTTGTTTTTAGCTGGCCAGGTGAATGTCTTTTCAAAACACTTCGGTGCCACGTAACTCATTAAACCAGCTTCAAGTTGCTTTATCATCAAATAGATTTAAATTGAGTTTAATTTAGCGACAGATACAAACTCTGCGAGCTACAGATTACATTTTGTGCCTTCTGTTGCGCCGTAAACGTCGTACTGGCGATTGGCGTCAAGCATATGAGTCACAATAGCGGCCTATCACCCCGCACCTGTTTTACGCATACCAAGGTCAAAGTTTCCTCCCTTGCTACACGGCAAACAAAACTTTAGCTTCAATTTGACATATAAAACGTTTAGTTACCTTGAATGGTATGCAAGCAATTACCATTTAAAATCCCGGCATTCTTTTAAAAACACCCTGTATTACGACTTTCAAGGGGTAAAATGGGTATATTAAAACATAAAGGTAAAAGCTTTCCGTAGCTATCAAAGACAATATAGTAGGGAAGGGTAGCAGACAAATATTTCAGTTCTGGCGGGGAACATGCAACTTGAGGTGGTTAAGGTATACAAGTTCCTGGACGTAAAACCGCCCAGACCCCAATTTTTAAGAATTTCGGTCGTCCGCGATAACGTCATCAAGATGGCGGCTGTAAGAGGATGCTGGGTCACCATGAATTGGTTATAACACCAACACCCAAATTCCTGAACCGATTTTAATGCAATTTTGCATACAAGTGCTTCAATACATCATCTCGGCCCAGCTTGACAATGGTCGAGTTTGATCAAGTTGTTTCAAAATGGCGGTAGTTAATAACTCAAATAATGAAAATGTTTCAGTGTTTTGTGTTCTCAACTCCCTCCAGAGATCTGCAGAAACGCACTCATTTTCCTTGCAATCATAGGTTATCATGGCATGTCTGCATTTTATGGAATAGGCAAAATACCCCCATTACAGCAAACCTGCAGTCTAAGTAAGTTTCCATTTACCTGATACTAAGTTGCTAAATAAAAAATAACTAAAATGCCATGGGAAGGGAGGAAAACAGGTGGGTGTTCGGAGTGTGGGATCTATTTACAAACACACACCATCTCATTTTTATATATTAGTATAGATTTTAAGAAAATGATAGCTGTATTAAATACTAACAATTTTCAATAGTACAGCTAGATGTGATAAGCTATTTGAATATTATGGGAATAACTCAAACGCAGGTGAAAGGTCAGTTCTCACTGTAAACAGACATCAGCTGATAAGAAAGTTGTGCCGATTCTGCTGAGGCATGTTTCAAACTCCAACAGGTTGTCTTGAGTTTGTAGTGGTTATCTCTTGTATTATAAAAATTTCACTTAGTAATTTACAAACTAGACACCTATAAAGGAATAAACTTCTTACCTTAATGCTTATTACCTTACTACTGATGAACAGGGAATAGGGGGATTTTCCTATTAGGGCAGAAGACAAATTCATTTATTTGTATAAAATTGTATGTATTTAATGTTATGATACTCTACATTTATCACTTGTTGATTAGCCGTTTGGCAAATAATCTATACACAGTTTTTAATTATAATGTACAATAAATGGCTAGAGGAGAGGGTCAATTAGCAGGGAACATAATTAATAAACATATATATCAAGTTGAGATTACAAACTGTATTTTTAATAAACCAAATATAGTTGGACTGAGGTAATTTCTAAAACCTAGTCTTCATTTAGGATCATCTTCAAATGGTCCAAAATCGTTTGGTCCAACGTTTATATTGCCATTCGTTTGGTCCAAAATCGTTTGGTCCAACAGTTAAAAACTCGTTCATTTGGTACAAAATCGTTTTATCTAATTTCTTTGGTCCAAAATCGTTTGGTCCAACAGTTAAAAACTCGTTCGTTTGGTCCAAAATCGTTTTATTTAACACTTTAATACGAGTTTGTTTGGTCCAAAAGTATAAACTATTGCGTCCCTCACATTGAAGGCATTCAAAAATCCGCCGTTGTATACAATAATAATATTAATACTGTAAAATTTTTGCTTTAAACATGGCGACTTTCTATGTTTTATTTATTCACTTATTAATCACTATTAATACACTGTTATAGCAAAGTCACTCAAAGCAAAGTCAATGTTTATCCACAAATCTAGGGAATTAAAACGCGTTGTTTTAAGATTGACTGGGGATAAAAAGTAAACAGGACACAAGCACGTTATATATAAATAAATATATGTTTATATGTACGTGTATATAAATGCAAACATATCAATTATTTAGAAACATAACACAAAATAACAAATAGGCCTCGGAAGGCAGGCGGTTTGGTTGACGACGTGACGGCGGTTATTTGAACGCCTTCAATGTAAGGGACGCAATAGTTCATACTGTTGGACCAAACGAACTCATATTAGAGTGTTGGACCAAACAAACTGTTTTACAACTGGTGGACCAAACGATTTGGACCAAATGAAATACTCTCCAACTGGATGATAAATTGATTTTGGACCAAATGAACTGTTTTACAAGTGTTGGACCAAACGATTTTGGACCAAATGAACTGTTTTACAAGTGTTGGACCAAACAAACTGTTTTACAACTGTTGGACCAAACGATTTTGGACCAAATGAAATACTCCCTTCATTTATTGACAAAAACATTTTATAAATAAAAAATGTAATATTAGCAAGGTTTATAAAGATTCTAAAAATTAATCTCCTACTAAAAAAAATTGTATTTGGTCTATGAAGGCAATGGATACACTGACAGGAGTGAACAAGATTTTCTAAAATGTTTAAAGCAATTATTGACTTGACTATCGACAATGCAAGGTGGGTTGGCTTTAGTCTGTGTAAAATAAGTTGTGATAGTAAAAGTGTTCCCTAAGTATTGTTTCATCAAATCTGAATGATGTGAGAATATATACTACTGCCACAGCAAGCTCTTCAAAATAGTTAAGAGAGAAATTGTAAAGTTAGAAGTTTTGATGGTCAAAAATGAGAAAACCCAATTTTTACCCCATAAAGCCCCCCATTAGCCACGTTCCCTTATAGTCTGATGAAAGTAAAGTAATTTTCCTCCAAAACATTTTTTCTTTGCCTGGACTAAGCATTTTACTATTTACCTTTATCTTGCTCCATTCATGATTATTTCATGGGGACCCTCATTTCATGGGGACCCACTCTCTGTAAAGGTGTATAGTCAATGATATGACCCATTTGAAAATTTTCAACAAGTTTGGTAACACTATGGTTTTTGATTGTACACAGTTATTCATCTACTGGCACCTTCTGAATTTAATCTACTTAAATAATGAAAGTAAATAAGGTATGTATTGTGTTATTCACAAACCCTATTTTGTTAGACATTTTAAATTCTCTTTTTGCTTACAGTTTAAATCTTTAATAACAACAAAATTGTGCATTTCTTATAGCTTGTATTTTGCTGGTTAAAGCAAAATATTACTGGTCTAACTTAAATCTAAGATCAGCTATTGTTTAGACTACATCGCTTAAATTGTTCATTGGCTCTAATCATTGACTATTGAATAGTCAAAACTCTAATTTACTAGTTAATGTCCACGATTTAAAATACTAAACTATAATCTATTCCAAATACTACCATGGTAAACAGTACATAACTTTAACTTAGTAGCTTGAATAACATTTGAACAACTTAAAGAAAACACACACCTTCTTTACACACACACTTTCTTTAAAGATAAAGAATATGACTAACTTTTTCATAAATATTTTAAAATATTAGAAAAAAGAAAAGAAAGCTATGTGGCTATATTAACAAAACTCCAGTAACCAATTTTGCAAAACTCAAAATATGAAAACTTTGGCCACTCCTAGAGTCAATATAGGTAACACAAATAGGAAATAGGTATGTTGTGATACCCATCAAGGATGATACAGCTAACATGGATCCCGTAAGCCGTGTTTACACGAAGCCAGTTAAAGGGCAGCAGGTAACTTGGAAATAAACTAGAGTAACCTCCCCGCAACCTGCCTGCTCTACTGGCATCGTGTAAACAAGGCTTTAGCCTAACCTAAGTTTCAAGATATTCATCTGTTCAAATGTAAACAAACATTTTCTCCATAAGAATAACGTGGGGACTTTGAAGGCCCCTGGAGCAGAGCCTTCCTGATGAAATTTCAAAGTTTTTTTTCATGGCAAATCTACAGGCCACGACCTATCCAGGAAATGTACTAAAATCAATTAATTGCTTTTTTTTAAGCAGTAGATTTCGATAACTCAAATTTCACGTTGAAATAAATACCTTAAACATGGTCATCGAATGCGTGCGTGACAGCTTCAAAACAATTATCACAAAATTCATGTTAGCCTATTAAATATAAAGATTTTTGCAATTTATGTATAAACCATTTTGTGGGACCTAAAAAAATAATTTAGTGCACTGAAGCGTTCTTGTGCACTCGTGAGAACATCAAAAAAATGAAAAAGTAAATCAGTCCCAGGCCTAGGTCTTGCCGTTATGTTATACTGTACCTAGAATGACAGGCCATGCTGCAGCGCGGGCAGCGCAACACTACATCACAGTGGTGGATAGTTGTACTAAAATCTTACCATTAAAATCTGACAAACAGCCAGCTTATTTACCTAAAACATATGGGATATTGCAGTGCCTCTATCAACAATAACAAATCTAACCACTAAGTGTGTTGTCATGGATCCTGCAGCATGGCCTGTTTTTATAGTGGGGCCTTGATATACTTATAAATATAAATAAATAAATATAATTATAATCCGCTAACATTTCACTAGTTATAATCTTTCTTGTTGCAGTTACAAAAAAATACCCCTGACGCAGCAAACCTGTAGACTTAGCAAATTTCCATTTGCCTGATTGCATTTACACTAAAATGTCTCCTTAAAAATATCACATTTTTATTCCCTATAGCATTAGTTTAACAAGTACTTAGGTATACTGCAACAAGGAGGATAAAAAAGTATTTTTTGTTGTAAAATTGTGTAATACCAGTACCACTGTTGTAAACTATAGGAATACTGTAGTTTAGTAAGAGATGAATGTATTTTCCAAATTTGATCAAAATATGTTCATAAACAAGCAAACTACAACACTTATTCTCCAATAGAATAACATGGGAATTTTAAATTTACAATTCTTTGGAATTTTCTCTGTATAACCATTAGGCACATAATAAAGCTTCAATATACTTAATTTTTTTTTTAAGCTCTACAAAATGGTTTGGAAAGAAATTGTAAAATTTTGTGTTTTCATGGTCAAAAATGGGAAAACCTATTTTTACCCCATAAACCCCCATTCCCATAGGTCCGATCATGCTGGTATGCGAACTCATTCGAATAAATGAAGGTTTACACGTTTGTACCAAATTTTATCAAAATTCAAAATCGGATAATTTTTCTTGAGTTATGGATACACACACACACACACACACATAGGCCTAAATGAATTTGAACGGATGGTGTTTTTGGCCTCTAGGGACCTCAAAACAAAAAAGTAAATCGGTCCCAGGTCCAGGCCTCACCTACTACGGTAATAGCTTATTCCCTTTATGGGAAATTAGCTAAAGTAAAATAAACAGGAAAAAAATCAGAATGTATGGATGTATTTGAGTGACAATCCAATTAGTGAAGAAAAACTCGTTTAGTTTGCAGATTGACTGTGGCACGAGTATTTAATGTAGGATTTTATTTACTTTGTAAGATACATATTAATCTTATAAATATTCTATTTCAACCATTATCACAGCCAAATAAAAAATAAAATTTTTTATTCAAAATTACAATTCTCAGTAGCTACCACCTTTAATATTTCCAAAATAAATATATATAGGAAAGTGTTGGAAATGTACTAAAATCAATTAATTGCTTTTTTGAAGCAGTAGATTTCCAAGAACTCAAATTTAACGTTGAAATAAATAACCACCAAAACGATATGATCAATAATAAAACTTCAACAATGGTTTTTCCTATACAATTATTCTAATTTAGCATGCTTTTAAAGCATTCTATGAAAGACTTCAAAGTTGACTATTCAACAATGTTTCATAATATTATAGCATCTAAAGTATCTATTTGCTCTCTCTGTATATAATACTTTATCTAAGAATAAACCTACTGGTATTTACAAGTTAATACATACATGGGATACATTAATATCGTTTTTAATTCAGGAGCCATCCATATATGAACTTTTTGTTCCTTAAATTTTATCATGAAACATATACACTAAAGCAAGACAAACCTGACAAATATTGTAAAAATAAAACATCTGATGCTTGGAGCACAAAGAATATCACTGTATGGGTACTCTTTACTCTAAATATTAATAATTATTCTTAATATTCCTGATCTGTACTAGGCTGTGACATCAGTTTTGCTCAGGGGGTGAAATTCCAGGGGAAGTAAATTCCACTACCCCGATAATTTTAGCAAAAGTGGCCTATTTTGAAGAAATTGGGCATTCAAATGTAGGGTTGGTTTAGCTTTTTTTAAGAAGAAGCAAGATTAGGCCATAGAATAGACTATAGAGTTTTATGGGGGGATTAATTGTCCAAAATTGGTTTACCCTAGAAACATAATAATCCTCAATTTTTAGTAGAGTCATCGCATAGAGTTCATAACACAAACAATTTATTAAGTACCCTACTGTTTAAGACATTTAGTTACTGACATTTTCAAGTTAATACTGACATAAACCCGCAACAAATAGCAGCCAGAAGTACCTGTCCTTCTATTGACCAAACTAGCAAAAAGTATTAAACTAAGTTCCTCATTATGACTATGCCAGTTTTTTCATAATAAAATTACTGACCTCATGTTTCATGTACAATGACTACATTCATACCACCAATTACAATATGTTGTACTGTAAATTTATAAAGATATCATATCTCGATTTCTTTAGTTTGGCCAGAGCTTGAGGTAACTATGTACTTTCTAGGACATAGTCATTGTACCTATAGTGTTTTCTATCTTACAACGTCTATTATGTTGAATGGTCCTGAATCAATTACATCTTAAACCTTAACATCTGATTGTTCAGCAAGTAAATGCACAGTTTGTGTCTTTATTAAAGTACTAAATCTAAATATTATTTTAGATGTATCTAAGGCATTTAAAATCGTTTGTTTTGATTGAAATATAAAGTATTTACAGCACAGAAAAATATTAAAAACAGTTTCCTGCATTTAATCTATTTACAAAATTGGTTTTATATTAAATCGTTTAAAATCATCTAAAATAGTTTATTTGTAAAATAGGTATTTAAAATATTATTGCTAATTCTAATATAGATTATGAAGCTTATTGCTACGTCTTATCTATATTCTTTGTTCCCATTATCACACAAACTCGTAGATGCATGGCTGTACAGTTAGAGCGGAGGAGGGGAGCTCTTCCTCCCTATGTTGTTGAGACTGACAGGCTGCTGACTTTCTACGTTCTGGTATCATAGAATGCCTTCTAGACTTATCAATAATTCTCTTCTGGCGATAGAAGAAGTTACTCATTTCGGAATTATAGCCAACATTTTTAACTGTTTTATCAGCCGACGCATTCTCTAGACTCAACCTGCGTATTTTTGTAGCAAATTCTGAGAGCGATTCTATTGCAGCTTCGTAATCATAATTTTGAGTATGATGACTGTTTAAAAGGTTGCAGGATCGAGACATTCTTCTTCCTTCCGCGTCCTGCCTTTTATATCTGTGACTCCAGGATTTTTCGTAAATCGAAGTCATAGTTCTACTCTTGTATTTTCTTAGGTTGGATTTATATTTGTAATTGATTTCAGTGACTGGCACTTGTAATTTACTATTGTGCTCTCTAACTGCTACTTCACTTACTACTATACCTCTACCGTTACTTATATTATTTGTCAGAGGTGGGGTTTTGCGCTCATTGCTGAATGAATGGAGTGTTTCATTATTGCTCTCCAGGGCGGTCAGGATCTCGTTGTACAGGCCGCAAGCCGAGACACAATTGTCGTTCTCCGTACAGTCGTTGCGCGACTCGTCCGGAGCACAGAGCGGTGAAGATAAATAATCCAGAGAAGATGTAGTTGAAGTATTGGAGTAATTGACATTGAAGACACTTGTAGAAGGGGCATCATTGTATGCTATAGTGGAGCGAAGGGGAGCGGGGGCGGATGGGGCTGAAGTCTCTATAACACTGGCGGGGCGCACGGTTGACAGCAGGCTGATGACAGACATGCTCGGTCTACGTGAGAACGAACATGACATGGCACGTCTGCGAGACCGCCATTGGACATCCCACGGTTCACCTTCCTGCAACAAAGCATTCAGTTGAATACATTCAATAAAATTATAGTAAAATTATTCTTCAAAATATTTCAAAATGATTCCACACTTAAAATAGCCTAGTAACTTAAGTTAAAAATCAAGGCCAACAAAGACATGAAAAATGTACAGCTGATTTTTTGCATGATGGTAGTGTATGATAGGAAGGGTGTTTTCTGAAAGTTCCCTGAATTTCCCCCACCCCTTGCTTCCCCTTGAACCCCCCCCCCTCCCCCTTGAACCCTCCCTCCCCCAAAACACCAGGTTGAAAGTGTAGTGTTTTACTAAATCACCTATAACTTTTGATGTAAAAGAGCTATGAGCATAATTGTTATTTTCTTTGAACTCCCCGTTAAATTTACTTTAATAAAATAACCTTACTTGTAGCATTATCTCTATTTGGTGGGGTTTTATATGTGATATCAAATAAATATTATTTTATTGAAAACGTGAAGTTGTAGATTAGGTCAAACGTCGGTTTTGCAGTAGGTAGTACGTCAATGTAACAAAACGTTAAACGTTTTACCTATTTTATGAGCTTTCCAAAAATGTCCACTATGGAGCGGTGGAGCTGAATGATCAGCTGTTGCGAGACTGGTGTGGAACACCCCTCGTACCATTCATTGGACGCGCCCGCGAAGGCCGCACGCACGATAGGGCTTTCTGCTATACTAACATCCATCACCGGCACACGTGCTGTCGTGCTCAGTTTCAGTCTCATTCTGTTATAATATCCTAGATTGATGTTTATACGCATCTCATACGTTTTGATTTCCACCGTGCAGTGCCAATGCACGCCGTGCTTGCACGGTGACACTTGCACGTTTCGTCAGTTTTTGGCAGGGTTGTAAGTGCAATAATGTGTATTTTATGGCAATGAAACGGCGAGTATGCCAGTGTGCGTGAGTAATAAGCTGTTCGCTGGGCGCCGCTTCGCCGCTTCTCTCTCTCTCTCTCATCCCCTTTCCCACTCACTTGACCCCTCTCCCACTCCCCTCCGCTGTGCAGCGCTCCAAGCTTTTATAAAATAAAATTGTTGACCCTAAAAACACAACATTTTCAATTTCTTTCCAGACTAATTTGTAGAACTTAAAAAATTAATAATTTTGTATATTGAAGCATTGTTGTATGCCTAACGGTTACGGAGATAATTTAAAAACTTTAAATTTAAAATTCCCATGTTATTCTTATGGAGAATAAATATACTGTTGTAGTTTGCTTGTTTATGGATATATTTTCATCAAATTTGGCAATTTTGTTTATTTCATACTAAGCTATCAACATTTTAAATAAAAACACACCTCAATACCTTCCCTAAAATTTTGTAATGCCTGCCATTTTGGCTAGGGGTGAGATATCCACCTCGGGTTTGCTTCATTGTGTTTCTTTTGACAAATAGGGGTTTCACTCAATAGGGGTTGCTATTAGAAAAAAATGAGTCACCCCCTACCCCCTACCATGTTACCCCTAATTACAAAATATTTTTGATGTAAAAAATTGCGAAACCTTTGTTAACAATTATTACCACAAACAAAATATTTCTATCTATTTCGGTTTTAAAAATACAGATTTGTTTCAATACTTAATTTACACACTGTATAATAAATCAATAGATACCGTAGTTATACATATACAGGGTTAGTAAAAAGTGTGGAGACCCCCTGTTATTTTTTTAACGGTCCATACTAGAAAAACTAAACTCGGCTCACCTTTATGGCATGATATAAAGTACTTTTTGGGCATAACCGCCATTTAGTGTACATCCCCAAAATGGGGGATTTTGAGGGAAACTCAAAGATTTCAAATGCAAAGACCCATCGAGTGACCCTTCATTTTGAAGGTCCTTGTAAATGAAAACCAACAACGCAACTATCTCAATCCAGTAAAAAATGGCAGCCAATTTAAATTCTCAGTAGTTAAATTTAACTTACAACTTTCCAAGTCTGGAGACCCTCTGTAAATTTTGTAACGGCTCACACTAGGAATACTAAACTCTACACACCTTTTATGAATGTTATGAAGTACTTTTTAAGCCTAAAAGCCACTTGGTTCCCAAACCCAAAATGGGGTATTTCGGGGGAAACTCAAACATTTTAAATGTTAAGCCCCATCGATTGAAGGTCCTGGTAAAAGAAAACTATCAACGCAAATTAGAGGTCTCTATCTTAACACAGTAAAATATGGCAGCCAATTTAATATAAAATTGCAAGTTATTTCTGATTTCTAAAGATATCAATCAGCTTCCATTGTTTACTGGATTGAGATGGAAACCTCTAGGTTGCGTTGTTAGTTTTTTTTACCAGGACCTTCAAAATGAGGTGTCACTCGATGGGGATTATCATTTAAAACTTTTGAGTTTCCCCCAAAATCCCCCATTTTGGGTTTGAGAACCAAGTGGCTATTAGGCTTAAAAAGTACTTCATAACATGCCATAAAGGTGGGTAGAGTTAAGTTTTCCTAGTGTGAGCCGTTAATTTACAGAGGGTCTCCAGACTTGGAAAGTTGTAAGTTAAATTTTACTACTGAGAATTTAAATTGGCTGCCATTTTTTACTGGATTGAGATAGAGACCTCTAGTTGCGTTGTTGGTTTTCTTTTACAAGGACCTTCACAATGAAGGGTCACTCGATGGGTCATTCCATTTTAAATTTTTGAGCTTCCTACAAAATCCCCCATTTTGGGGATGTACACCAAGTGGCGGTTATGCCCAAAAAGTACTTCATAACATGCCATAAAGGTGTGCCGAGTTTAGTTTTAGCGAATTTCCCATATAGGGAATAAGCTATTACTGTAGTACTCATGGTAAGACCTGGACGCGGGACCGATTTTTTTTTTTCATTTTGAGGTCCCCAGAGGCCAAAAACACCATCCGTTCAAATTCATATATATATATATATTTATATATTTATATATATATATATATATGTGTCCGTTAGCACGATAACTCGAGCAAAAATGATCCGATTTTGATGAAACTTGGTACAAACGTGTAAACCTACGTTTATTCAAACGAGTTCACGATCCAGCATGATCGGACCATGGGAACGGGGGTTTACGGGGGGATTTATGGGGTAAAAATAGGTTTTTCCCATTTTTGACCCAAAAAACATAAAATTTAGCAATTTCTTTCCAAACCATTTTTTTTTGTAGAGCTTAAAAAAAAAAAAAAACAAATGGGGGTAATGGGTGCTCTGGGAGTGGTAGTACCTTTTGCGCCGTTCCGACCACACCTTGTATGCAGGGTGGGTTCGGCAGACTGGTCCACACCAGGCATCAACTCTCACTTGTTAGCTACGGAGAGCTACCCCTGCCACTGGGTGTTGGTCCACCTACAGAACCAAGTGAGGAGGGTGCTTCCCAATCAAGGGAAGTCCTTTGAGTTGTAATCTGGCCGGTGCACACGCACGTCCCAGGGAGTAAGCTGAGTCATGACATCAGACAGCTGAGGCAACTCACAAGGCAGGCTTGGAGGCCAAGGAGGCAGCCCCTCCACCAAGCTATGGGTGCGATAGAGGCCAATAACCTGTTCACTCGAGAAAAAATTATTACGGAAACCTTAAGGAACAGCCGGACGGGAGATTTGGTAAAGACCTTTGGCCTGAAATGGATAACGAGAATCGGATTTTGGAATGTGAGGACATTATATCAAACTGGGAAACTAAAACAAGCTGTAGCGGAGATGAAAAAGTACAGACTAGAAATAATGGGTATGAGTGAGGTACGTTGGAATCAGTTTGGAGAAATAAACGCTGATTTAAATACAACTTTCTTATACTCGGGGAAACCGAACGAAGAGGATGACCATAGAAATGGGGTTGGACTCCTGTTGAGCAACACTGCAAAAAAGGGCCTAATGGAATGGAAACCCATTTCTGACAGAATAATAGTGGCAAGGTTTAGTTCAAAAGTAAAGAAATGTATCCATTATACAATGTTATGCACCAACAGATCTAGCTGAAGAGAACGAAAAAGACCAATTCTATACAGAACTTCAAGAAGTTTTAAGAGGTGTAAACAAGAGAGATATTTTGATTGTTATGGGGGACTTGAATGCAAAAACTGGAAGTGACAATGTTGGATTGGAACAGGTTATGGGGAAACATGGAATTGGAGTGAGAAATGATAATGGTGAAAGGCTCGTAGACCTCTGTGCTAGGAACGATTTAGTTATTGGAGGCACAATATTTCCCCATAAAAACTGTCACAAGGTATCATGGGTTTCTCCTAATTACATTACAGAAAATCAAATCGACCATTTTGCCATTGGAAGAAAGTGGAGGAAATCTCTACTTGATGTCAGGAACAAACGTGGAGCTGACATAGGAAGTGACCATCATTTGATGATTGCGAATATCCGACTAAAAATTGCTGCCTCAGTCAAAGCAGCTGAAAGAACATCAAGAAAATTTGACACCCTAAAGCTAAGAGGGACACAGCACAAGGAAAACTTCATGGTCGAGCTGCAAAATAGATTTGAAGCTTTAGGCTCTATGGATGACTCAAGTATAGAAGAACATTGGCTTGGTATAACAAACACGTATACGAATACTTTAAATGATGTTTTAGGCTTAAAGAAGGCAGGGAAGAAAGATTGGATGTCTGAGGACACGTGGAAAAAAGTGGAAGACAGAAGAGAAGTTAAGAATAAGATAAACTCTTGCAAGACCAGAGGACAAAAGAGGGATATGAAGATACTCTATAAGGAAGCAGATGTAAAAGTGAAGAGAAGTGCAAGGACTGACAAACGGAAATGGATGAGCGAGCTGGCGGAGAAGGCTGAAGAGGCATCTAGGAAAGGAGATATGAAAGAACTATATAACATAACAAAAAAGTTGTCCAAGAGAAAAATTAATGTTGGTAGACCAGTAAAGGATAAGGAAGGTAAACTTTTAACAAGTGATCATGAGCAGATGAAGAGATGGCATGAGTTCTTCAGTGGACTATTTGAGACATTGGAGGATGATGGAAATGTTGAAGGTGACCTGGTGG